GGAAAACATCACCAACCAGTCATAAAATTAGCAAAAGAAAATAAGCAGAGAGCTCAGTTTCAGTTTGTTGTCTTCAAAATTGAGCACTTTACAATCTTTATAAGCATCGGCACTAGAGTTATCACTACTTCAAAAAGCCTCAAAAGTTATCTAAGCACTATATTATCAATTATAGGGGAGACGTCCAAGTATTTATAAACTCAATTAATAGGAATTAATTTAGTCAATTGCATCATTGCAACCTGAATTTTCAGTAAATCATAAAAGTTCTCTAACAATAATTGCTAACAAATTCAGTAAACCAGAACAATAAAACAAACCATAAATTTAATTACCAGTTCCATATTATGCTAAAAAAACAAAGAATAAATAATTTTCCAGAGAAAGAACAAGATTTTCCTAATATTAATAATTTACAATAGATAAACTATCATTAAGAGGCTTCAGCAGCCAAAAAGCACAATCAAGAAGAGGAATAAACAGCTACCTCTTAAATAGCAATATATGTCGGCATTTGGTTCCACTTCCCCCTCTTTAGATGTTCCATTTTCAATTCCACTTTCACTTCCATAAGTGTTTTCGCAACTCGGGTTCGATCCTCGGCAATGGTGCCAAAAACTTGACAGATACAAAGTTTAATCCTTCGCAAGTGCACAAGTCGCAATCACTGTATAGTGCACGAGTAAGGGTCGATCCGACAGCAATCGGAAGTACTTTTGTGATCTTAGTAACTATGCCTTGTAAAAATAACTAAAATGAAATAAGAAAACACATTAACAATATTAAAACGAATCTAAATCTAACAATCTACAAAGAATCCTAGGGCTCTAACTCTAACATAGTTATCAGGCTACATGTTCATTATCAAAATATTGTTCTCTCCACTCTATTCTAGAATTCGTACATCTTCGGGTTTAACCTAGTACTTTTCATCATCTAAACTAGCTAGTGGCGTATATCCTAGTCTAAACAACGAAGGAACCAATTTGCATAAACACAAATCATCCATTCACAAAGCTAATCAAGATAGGCACGATGTCTCTTGTTCTAAGGTATTACTGTATGACGTTCGGGATTAACCTAGTATTTTTTTCAATTAAACTAGCTAATGGCATATAGCCTAGTCTAATTACAAAAACCCATTAAGCACAAGACAATCTTAAAGACAATAGCCAAACTATGTCCGGGCAGGGCTACAAATTAGTCATTCCATACCCAATCTTGTCTCATACAATCAATTAACTAACATCAAAGTTGACTAGGCCTTAACATTAACTAAAGATTGAATTAAATGCAATGAATGAATCTAGAACATAATAGAACGGATTAAACAAATTGAATAACAATAAAACACAAGCCTTCAATTAGATTACATCAAATCCTTAGAAAACAAAATTCAACATAAAGGAAAAGAAAGAATTACACCTAAAACCATAATCGTGAAGAACAAAGGAGGAGGAGAGGAAGAGAACTTCCTCTCCTCTCCAAGCTCCACCTTTCTAAGAAGCCCCAAATGTGGTTCAATCCCTAAAATGTGTATAGTCTAATGGCTCTCTCCAATACGAACTAAAGTTGCCTTTTATAGTAATTACATGTGATAACGTTTTTGTAAATACTAGCAAACAAAATTAGGGTTGGAAGTGCGAATATTTTGCAAAATTTGTGATTTGCACCCCGGCGTGGTTGAATGGTGCTGCGGCGCGCTTCTAGGCGATTTCTTTTTCGTCACCAACCCGATCCACACCGTGACATAGTTGAATGGAATTGAGGCGCTGTTTGGATTTTATCGATTTGTGATGTGGCGTCGAATGTCTTCGCTACGACACAACTTGGATTGCACTGTTTTCACGCCGCGACGTAAGAAATCATGCTATGGCCCGACTTGAAATTTCACTCTTTTTTTTCTTGCCTTGATTTATCCGCACTCGAATGGGTCCAGGATGTCCGAACACCAACACTAGCACGAATAATTCATCTTTTTGCACCTGAATACTTGAAAACACAACAAAACATGTGATTTTGGAAGATAACGAAACATGCAAGGAATCTCATAAAAAATCATGCACTAAGCCTTAAATTCCTTATAGTTTCACCCCCAAATCACTATATAAATCCACATTTCCAACACTCACCAATATCACAACCCCAAACTCTTAGATGAGACAAAACGGGTTTTCACCCATTCCATATTTCATATGGAGTCTTATCTACTGATTTAGACGATACACGATTCAGTGTATAAGTCACAGCTTCTAGGGCATAGCCTCGAATGATATGGGTAGATCTGTAAAACTCATCATGGATTGGACCATATCTAACAAGTTACGGTTTCTCCTCTTAGACACTCCATTGTGTTGAGGTGTATAAGGAGGAATGAGTTGAGACACTATCCCACAGTCCTTTAGGTATGTATCGAACTCTGAGCTTAAGTATTTCCCTCCCTTGTCGGATTGAAGAACCTTGATATTCTTGCCCAATTGATTTTGTACTTCATTCTTGAATTTCTTAAACTTGTCAAAAGATTCAAATGTATGTCTTATTAAATAGACATAACCAAATCTATTGAAATCATCAGTAAAAGCGATAAAGTATGAATAACCACCTTTGGCTGTATTGTTAGAGGTTCACATACATCACTATGGATGATGTCTAATAGCTCTGTTGCTCTTTCACTGTGTCCAGTGAAAGGTGACTTGGTCATTTTGCCTACTAGGCATGACTTGCATACCACATAAAACTTGAAGTCGAATGGGTCCAAAACTCCATCTTTATGAAGTTTTGCAATGCGAGTCTAGTTCACATGACCAAGCCTACAATGCCAAAGATATGTTTGATTAAAGCCATCAATTTTGGCTTTCTTATTCGCAAGATTGAAAATTTCATTATTATTTAAATCTATAACATACAAACCATTATGTAATCTAATAGTTCCATAATGAATACCATTTAAACTAATAGACAATGATCCTTTAGTTTTTAAAAATTGATATCCAATGTTGTCCAAAGCGAACACAGAAATAATATTCTTTGAAACTAAAGGAACATAAAAACAATTAGTAAGTTCCAAAATAAGTCCTGAAGGTAAAGATAAATAATAATTTCCTACGGCTAATGCAACAACTCGCACTCCATTTCCAACTCGTAGGTCTACCTCTCCTTAACTGAGCAATCTACTTTGCTGCAATCCCTACACAGAAGTGCAAATATGAGAACCACATCTAGTGTCATGACCCAAGATGTAAAAGGAGAAATATTTATTTCAATCATGTACATACCTTTAGAAGATGATGCATATTTCTTCTTCTTACTCGCTAGGAAGGTCTTGCAATACTTCTTCCAGTGGTCAGGCTTGCCACAATGAAAGCAAACAACCTTTTCATCTTTGCTCACGCCTCCAATGGGTTTAAGGGAATCTTGAGTTTTAAACTTAAACTTAGAATTGCTTGGAGGCTGGCTCGTTTTTGCTCCTCTTGTTCACAATCTTTAGTATGAAGATTACAAAACAAGAGGAGAGTGGCTTCTTGTTTTGGTTAGATTGTTGCCTAGTTTAGCCTTTAGATAATAATCGACTACATTACTTGATTTTTTTGCACCTAACCCAGGGCACGTCCTGAGGTAGGTTGGCATAGTTTTTATAGCTTTTTGTATATTCTTTCCTTCTCTTCTAATGAAATTTTTATTACCCACAAAAAAAAAAAAAAAAAAAAAAAAAAAGAAGACAAATGTATTCATGGTTATATTTGAGACTTGATCCTTTTTCCCCTAACAAAATTCTTTTTAATTTGTCTAAATTTAAACAAAATAAAAAATAATGCAAAACTTTTAGCAAACATCCTTTAATAAAATATTTTTATTTGTAAGAAGTCTATATTTATTAAGTATATATTTAATATTATTTAAAAATAAATAAATTTTCATATCTTTAAGTTTTTTTGTTTTTTTTCAATTTTTTGGATTATTTTAATTTGTTTTTCGATTGATTTTTTCGCAACATCCAATCTATTATTATAAAATTTATTTACTCTTTGTTTGATCAAATATTAAGGTATCTAATGTTTAAATTATTAAGTATTATGTGGTTTCTAATGTTTATAGAGGTATAATACTTTTCAAAGGTTTATTTTATTTAACGTCTATAAAATCCCTTGATATGAGACACATATAATATCTATTGGAAAGTATTAGTGTCTTGTTTTTAATTGTATTATGGAAAAGGTTGGATGTGTTTCATATTAAAGTAATTAAATGAAATAAACCGTATTATTATTATTAGATACGCTTGGTTGGGAAGCCCCCTTGCACACATGGAAAGCCCAAGACTGAAGAGATACCATTTGATTGTTGAGGGTTGATGGATTGCGTGCACAGATGCACGTGAAGCTGAGTTGTTTCTTTTGCATCAACTATCTGTTTCTGTTATCTCTACTACCCGCTCCCTCACCCTCCTCCTTTCATCTCAATTTGTAAACCTATATAATTAAACTCCTAGTTAAAAAATGTGTCACACTACCTCACAATCATCCAAACAACTTTTTAGGAATAGTTTATATTTTAATTTCTTTCAAAAATATTCCTTTTCATAGCATCATCCATGCAATAGTACAACGTTATGAGATTATATAAATGGATAATTTCTATATATTAAAGGCCCGTTTGGATGGGGTTGATATTAAAAATATTCCCCCCTAGTAATGGATAATATATGTTAAATTGAGTAGATAACCATGTTTCATTGTTTTGTAAAAAAACATTCCCCTCCCCCCCCCACCCAAAAAACAAAAAAAAAAAAACAAAAAGAAAGTTAAACAGTGCCAATTTGAAGGTAAATGGCCGGGAATAATATTACTAGGGGGGAAGCTATTATTAAAACATTCCTCCAGTAATCCAAATTTCTGTCCAATCTTGCCTCAAAATAGTGGATAATGCGGACAAAAATATCTTTTGCTTTGTTAATAATTACAAAACAACCAATTTACACAAGCAGACGGATTTGTCCTCAGTTTTTTAATTTTCCAGACGAAATTGCCTTGGTTATTATCATTATTTTAATAAATGCCACGAAATATTGGTGTACCCATATTATCCTCACATATTTGCATATTGTGACCAATATGCCCTTGGATTTCAATAAAACTACAATATAAAAGGAAAAAAAAATTCTGAACCCTAAACATTTCGATCTCCTTCTGCCCTAAACGTCCATCGCCGTCACTGGAGTCTTCTTCTTCTTGATCTCATTTGTCAGTTTGATCGCCATTTCCGGTAAGTCCTTCGCCCTCTTTCCATTTGCATTAGCTGTTGGTCCACCATCTCCGCCGCAACCAGTTCATCAATGGTTCGTGATTTGTTTGGATTGCAATTTCAAACCCTAACTTCTCCATTTTGTATCAGCCATTGGTCCACCTTCTCCGTTGCAGCAACCTCGGGTCTTCGTCACCATCTGTTTGCTCCCAACAGCACTCCAATCGCGGTTTTTGGTAAGTTCCTCGGCTTCTTTATACTGTACGATGATTATTAAATTAAGAGGGTTGCTTTGTTTCACTTTAGAGAGGGTAAAACTACCATGCAATAATTGATTTGATCTTGAAATCAAATGAAAAGAGTTCGAAATGCCATTAGGTTGCTTGTTTAATGTCTTGATTTGTTGTTGTGTAGTGGTCCATGAGATATGAAATACTATTGAACATGAGAATCAGATTTCGTTGGTTAGAAAGATAATAAAAATATATCAATGTCTAAGATGTTTCTTATCTTATAGTTTTCCTCTAGTTTTTTTGTAAATTGTTTTACTCAATTAGAGATTGAAGTAGGGTAGCTACAAGTTACAAGTTACAAGTTACAGGAAAATATCATCAACATTCCTACATGAAAAAAATTCCAATTATCTAGATATTGGATTTTAACTTCTGAAATGGTGAGAAGTTGGAAGAAAATAGAGCATGTGAAAATAGAAATTTACCCAACAAGGACGAAACCCTTCTTCAATGACTCCAGAATAACTTTATTAGCTAACCTACAATAACGAATAACAATTAACATCAAGATGCATGTTACAAAGACAAGAAAAGCTCTAAGCAAAACGAACTGCCATCATAGACCTTCGATATTTGCAAGCTATTCTTTCAACTGAAGATTGTTTCAATGAATCTTGAAATACAATGTGTACCAGTGATAAATGAAGCAAATTTTTTGCAACTTCAGATATCTACCCTAGCTTTTTTTTATTTTTTTATTTTTATTAATAGAAACATATCTACCCTATCTATGGCTTCTGCTATATCACAAGTCATTAACTAAATAACAAAGGTCTCGTTCTATGACGCAACAGGTTAAACAAACTGTCATCTATAAAATCACAATCAAGCACCACAAACATGTGCGTGTGCGACTGTGCGCAAACATATTGGACATTTTCACTTTTTAGCCTTACTTGTGCAACTCCACCTAGTTTCACTCCCAGTTTCATTGCTTTTATGACGACATCGTGAACTTCAAGAACAGCCTGCATAAGACGAAACTTGTACTATAATAAGCTTAATACTGTACATCATCTGCATTGTTTGACTTTGAAAAGTGAAAATAAGTGGAAGTTAGACAAAATAAATTCTGCATTGTTATGTTTAACATACATTTTTTCGACAGAAATGTCAAAACATTTTAAGACAAACTAGAATGATGAAGGTATTGCAATAGCAAGTGCTCATCCTATTTCCCAAATATAAAGTTCAAGTAAACTTATAGAATCCAATTGGTTAGCAACAACATAAAAGATATACCAATTGAATTGCTAAAGAAGACAATTTTGAGGGATTAATGTGAATTTTTTATGATGTTTATGTTGGTTTGTGTGGTGGATTCTGAATTTTGATGTGTGGGACGTTGAGAATTTTATGAGTGTTTGAGGTGAATTTTGGTTTGTGTGGTGAGATTTCTAAGTTATGATGTTTATGTTGTTTTCATCGAAATTCAGTTTGATTTCTTTCATATAAGATTGCTGTTATTGGTTTAAGGACTTGTATATGGTTGATTGACTTTATTATGCTTTGATACATGAATGATGTGAAACAGCTATGACTCGTTTAACAATCAAGCAAAAGATGCACTTGGTTGCCCTTTTAGTCTTCCATTTGGACATGTTGGAAACCATGTACACCATGCTCATCCTTCTTGGGTTGGTTAATGTACTTAATATACGGGATAGATATAGGGCTAGTATATCATATGCCAGTGAGTTTGTGTCTAGGTTTAAGGTTAGGTCGTTGAATTTACACACCATTCTTTTCCAAAGTGATGGATTATGTTTTGAGAGCTGTAGAATGAATAGAGTTCTATTAAACAAATTCCGCAATTTACTTACTATACATGGCAACTTAAAATCAACTCGTTATTCATCTGTAGAAGAATTAGTAGGGATTTTTGTTCACATCCTTGCCTATAACAAAAAGACCAAAGTCATGAAACGTCAAATGCGTAGATCCACTGAGATAGTAAGCCGCAATTTTCACTTAGTGTTGAATGCTGTGTTAAGGTTGCATACACTGCTGTTTAAAAAACCAGAGCCCATTCCCGAAAACTCAACCGATGACAGGTGGAAATGGTTCAAGGTACAGTCTAATGACTTAGTTTATGATGCACATGTAGTTCAATAGCTTATTAAAATTAGACTTAGTGTTTTGTCTAAAATATTTTTCATGTTCTGTGTTAGAACTGTTTGGGAGCTTTAAATGGAACATACATAAAGGTTCGCGTGCCCGCTAACGATATACCTAGGTATCAGTCAAGGAAAAATGAAATCGCAACAAATGTCCTTGGTGTATGCACAACAAACATGTAGTTTATATTTGTCCTCCCTGGGTGGGAAGGTTCCGCTGCAGATGGTAGAGTTCGTAGGGATGCCATTACTAGGAGAAATGGATTAAAGGTCCCCCAAGGTAATATAACAAATTAAATTGCATTTTTAATGTTAGGGTCTGTCATAATAGTACACTTATTAATTGTTATTGACTTGAAATTGATTATTTTAGGGCAATACTATTTATGTGATGTTGGATACACTAACGGGGAAGAGGTTTTGGCCCCTTATCGAGGACAAATATATCATTTGAGTGAATGGCAACAAGGTCAGCAACCGACATCACCGCAAGAATTTTTCAATATGAAACACTCAAGCAAGAAATTGTATTGATCAATGTTTTAGTATCCTAAAAGCTCGATGGAGAATATTGAAGGACACATCTTACTACCCCGTAAAAACACAATGTAGAATCATTATTGCATGTTGTCTTTTGCACAATTTCATAAGGTCTGAGTTGCCCATTGATCCGGTTGAAGTGGAGTTGTAGGAAGAGATCAACGATGAAGGGTAAGAGGACGACGATAGAGAACTAATTAGGCATGTCAAGCCTAATGCAGCGTGGACTGCATTTAGAGACAATATGGCGGCTGACATGTTCAATACTTGGATGGCTGCACGGAATGCATGATTTTGCTAGTGTTGAGTTTATGTGTAGTGTTGTGACTCTTAAAATTTATGTTTTCTGTTATTGGCCATGTATGAATGAACCAAAACACATATGCTTTGTTTGTGGAGTTGTACTTTGAGTTACATTTGTCGTAATGTGGATGGTTGAATGTTAATTGATCCCCTTCATGTATTCTTGTTGTTGATTTACTTAAAATTATGAATATCATGCATATTTGTGTGTGCAAAGTAAGTTGTTTACATTCAATTGCTCGGACACTGTGTATATACGAAGTTCTAACCTGAATTTTTTTCCCAATATCACTAATCAGCCTTTTTATTGTTTCAGTAATATGGAGAGATTAGCAACACAGCCCAATGATTCTGACAAGAGCATTAGCATGCATGACGACGCTATACCTATGAAAAAGGGTAGAAAGGCAAAGGCAAAGGCTAAAGGAAGTAAGTGGTGGTGAACAAAAAGGGATGACACTGTGTTGGTGGAGTGTCTATTGGAGTTGAAAGATCAGCTACTATGGAGAACTGAGTGAGGGTTCAAATGCGGCTAGCTAGCTGAGGTGGAAAATATGATGCAGGAAGGTCCTCCTCATAGCGATCTGAAAGCACAACCGCATATCGACTCAAAAGTCAAGATGTTGAAGAGGCAATATAATGCAATTAACGACATGATTGAGAAAGGTAGCGGCTTTGGGTGGAATGATGAGGAGAAATGCATTACATTTACCAAGGACGTGTTCGATGACTGGGTCTGGGTAAATATGCTTGTGTTGGTTTAATTGTGTACATTTCTGTTCTCAACTTTATGTTTACATGTACTCTTACAAATGTAATATGTCTTATGATGATTAACTTTTTTGTATAGTCATCCTTTTGCAAGAGCACTACGATATAAACCTTGGGTGCACTATGATTCTTTTATTGCCATCTACGGCAAAGACAGGGCAATTAGAGCTAGTGTAGAGACAGCCGCGGATGTTGTGGAAGATTTGGATAATGAGACTGTTGACAATAATGATGAACAGATGGATGTTGATGTAGATATAGATCTCGATGTCGATGAGCAGACCAGTGCCCTGCAGAAGGAAGATGTGGTTGATTCAACTTGTCAAGCGGCCACTACCAGTCAAAGTAGAGTGGCGGTCAGCAGTATGAGGAGGAAAAAAGATGTTGGAAAAGTAACAGACTGGTAAGACACATTGGGCAAGTTTGAGACTGTCTTGGATGGGACCCAAGCTAAGCTGAAGCGTATTGCTGACTATTTCAAGAAGGAGACCCAGGAGAAAGACCATAAAGGGCAGGTATATTCGATTGTTTCTTAGTTGGGTGGGTTCACAGTGACTGAGATGCTGATAGCCACAACGGAGATTTGCAAGGAACCTCACAAGATATATATCTTGTTTGGGTTACCAATGCACGTGCAGAGGGAATTTTGAAGATGCAGCTTGGAGCAAGTAATGAGTACCGCCCAACATTTGATTTCTAGTGAAGTCTTGCAATGGTTTTTTTTTTTTATTTGCGTAGGGTTATTAGTATGTTGACTCAGCGGTTGTGGTCTCGTATTTGTATTTTGCGTATATTCTAATTGCATACAACATGGTGTCTTCTGTTATGTTTTTGTTAAAACCATGTCTATCTAGTAATTAAATGGTAATGTCCTATGTTTGTAGTTAGTATGGGAAGGTAGGGTTCACTAATATGGAATGTAAAAAACTCTTAACTTTGGTAGTAATGTATAAAATGATGTGTGGATGTCTGTGTATTTAATGTTTGTGTTGCCTTAGTATGGTGAATGTGGTATTTTGATTTACTTGCGAAAACTGACATTTAGTTCACTAGGAAAGTACGATAAAGTTATACTAGCATTTATAAAGTGTCAGTTCTCTAATTTCTGTTTTGTTTGCTCCTTTGATGTGCTTTGTTTTATGGGTTGATGTGTAGGAACGATGGAAGGACCACGACGTTGCCCAGTAGTGACGACTGAAAGAGCAAAAGTTCGCGACAATGTCAAGAGAGCCGCACAGTTTGTACAGATAACAATGTGAAAGGTATTATGGTTGGATAGTTATGGAGTTAATTTGCTGTATGGTTGGGAATAATGCTTATTAACATAGCTCATAATTGATTGATGTCCAGATGTAGGTGGGACCAATCATTCAGTAGATGAAGAATGTTAAGAGACCCTTTCAGCCTTAAAGGGCAGCAAATGCAAAGGTACCTACATTGTAACTCGTAAACCTACCAATGCATTCGGTTATGAAAGATGTTTAGAATTGTTTGCTAATGTAAATGAATGATGAACATATGTAGGTGCCACAAATCAACGGAGGTCAAGTAGGCGATTGGCAAATAGAAAGGGGAAGGGGGGGAAATTGAGCAGAAGTATGTTTGACCTCCACATGCGGTACATAACTATTTTACAATTCAGATGCTTCAAGGCCACATTTACATAATATGTTTACCTCAGATGATTGACTGCATATTTCTATTCCGCAGTAAATTGTGGAGGAGTTTTACAAGAGACAACTTATGCAATTTCACATGGCTGGACTGCATATGGTTTTTTATGTACATAGAAGAAATCTACAAAGGGAAGGTGCTGAAGTGGATTGAGAAATTGGACATATTCTCAAGAAAATATGTTTTCATTCCTATAGTCCTTTGGCAAGTGAAGATTTTGTGTCCATACGCATTTGTTTTTTACTTACCAAACACGGACATCGGTTGATTTTGGTTGTTTAAGACTTCAAATTGACAATATGCATCAATTATGTTGATAGGGGTCATTGGAGTTTATTGATTTTGTGCAATTTTGGTGGAGATGTGAAATTGGAAATTAAAACTTGATGCATGACACTACTTGATTCGCTTGGATCGGATAATGGGATGAGGTTGCAACCTCTGATTCGATGGTAAACTTTCATTATTTCATAATTATTTGTAAGCACATTTGAGAACATGATGAAATTGTGTTGTTGGAGATTTGGAACTGGAATGGGTTTGAAATTGTCCAACTTTAATTATACAGGTTTGTGAGGGATATTTATGAATTAGGAACAATGTCCTAGCATCCAACATTGGTTGATAAAGTGCCTTTGCTAGTGCTTAAGGTGATAAAACAGTCTATTATGTTGGTTGATGGTAAATATTGGTTGATATGTTTAGTATTTCAAGGATTTGTTGTGACTGAAAAATGCACTCACCAAGTCCCTCAACAACAGAATGACATGGATTGCGGATATTTCGTACTCTATTACATAACCAAGTTTGTGGAAGCTGCCCCAGAAGATTTTTCAATCAATGACGGGTATTCTTACTTTGTAAGTACTACAATCATTTAATTGATCGGGGTCAATTGTTTATTTTCTCTTCAACTATAATATGTGGATTGTTGTTGTTAATTTTTATTCTCAACAGATGACGTAGGATTGGTTGACCCTCGCTGAATTTACAGCCTTCCATGACAAACTGTTGTGTGAAGTTGAGTAACTTAGGCTGCATTTAATTCATTTATGTATGACTACTGTGTATTGAGTATGGCATACTTTGTATTTGTGGATGTTAGATTGAGTTCACTTAAAAAATTGTGGAGATTAAGTTCACTCTTATAACGTGTGGAATTATGTATTATTATTGGTTCACAAATTTAAAGAGTAGCGTTATTGTGCTTGTACTTTATTTATTGGTACATTGCCTGGATTCAGCATAATGTAAATGCACAGTTACTCCAAAATATGTGACATTACAATTGTACCAACAATTTTCACACATAACTTTGGTCCAGAATAAGTGAAAAAAGTTAACAAAATTCCTCAAATATGGAAACTTGCTCCTAAATTCCAGCAATGGCGTAAACCAAAAAAATACAATTTTTCTTTCGCCTTGAAAAAAAAAGGTCTTCAATTGGACTGAAGTAGAAATAAACATGTAGGAACTATAATTTAGAGTAGTACACAAATCATAGTTTTTAAATTAGGTGATGAGAACTATATTGGTTTCCATAGCAGGGTGAGGTGTTGAATGTTTAGCCAACAAAAAATACAATAACTTTTTTTTGGAGTTTCAATAGTTTGTGTAAATTTGTCAATAAATGACTTAACAATAAAATACTTGGCAAAAATATAAGAGAAATTTTTTTTGTTAATTGATCATTTGTTTTATTAACCAAACACATTAATTATTTATACCCAGTAATCATCTAAAGGGCATTCTAGTAAAATGTAATCAAGACATCTGCTCTTACAGCCAACCAAACAGATTAATTAGTAATACAAGTAATCTTCCAAAGGGCATTATAGTAAAAGGGTATTTTAGGATATCTGTTATTATTGTCAACCAAACACATGAATTATTAATACATCCTAATTGAACCAAGCACACTGATAATTTAAACCTAGTAATCTACAACATAATCTATCTTTCTGATAATTTTAATACTAAGATAAAAATATATTATATGATCCAAACGTCCCCTAAGTGGTGCATTAGATATATTGTTAAAAGTAGAGCTTTGCTAAACAACCCCTAATAATTTTCCAACTTTTTATATTGTCTGACTAAAATACCCTTAACTCCACGAACTCAAAAGCTAATATAATATGATGAATTTTTATAAACCAATTTTATAATTATAACACACTAAAAGTTCTCTCTTGATCTCAAGTTAGGCTAGCTTCCATAACTTTGTTGTGCGGGGATAAAACATCCAGCTTAAGCCTGGACAATGCACTGGGATCCTAGTTTGGGTACGGCGCTAAGCAAGTCGAAGAAGACTTCTACCTAAGACAAGTGTCAACTTGCAACAAAACAAGCTAGGTGTCAACCGCTTCAACGCTTACTGCAACACTTGATAGGCCTACTAAACTGCATGGTTGCCACGTGCAGTACATGCAGTAGCTCCTCTTAACCAAGCGACTACTCTCTGACAAACGCAAGTTAATTACAACTATGACTAGGATTAAGCGTAATAATGCCCTGACACCTTCGATCGCCCAAAATCTATCAAACTAGACAACAATCATTCTGTTGATGTATCCCCACTAAAGACTACCATTGCAGCTCCTATAAATACCAGGCTAAAACCTTGAAAAAAATAAAAAGAAGAAGGAGATATAAGAAAAGAGAAGAGATAATTATCTGTTTGAGTTGCTTAAATCTTTGTCGTCACTCATTTTGAAAAAAATAAGTGGAAATAGCCTCGATCCGTTGCTCGGCTGAACCACTTTAAAACCTCGCCTCTTTCTCGTCATTATCAGTTAATGTCACCATCGACTCCAATCTTGTACTAACTACGCACACTTATCCTCGCTGATTCCCTAGAATCATGCACCCATCTTGCTCGGTTCCTTTTATGGTCAACCGGGTACCTTTGGTTGACGTGTGTTCATGTCTCAATGTTTTAATCGGTACAAAATTTTGCATCAACATTTTGGTGCTAGAAGGAGGGCTTGAACACTCTAATTAAAGTCCACTCTAAATCCAACTAAAATCATTATCACTGAACTAGCCACCGCATCTCGTTGCAAATGGTGCGACAAACAAGAACAACCAGGAGTCAAATTGGTGCTAATCAGGTCGATACTTTCGATATTGAAGGCCTCGAGAACATCCAAGAAACTACTAATGATCTTCTGACAGCTGTCCCACTTCCTCAAGGGGAAAACCACCAGAATACGCATGCATCTGATCCAAAAAACCCACAAGTAATAGAAATGTTATGAAAGATCACTCATGTGATCGGTAATCTCCAACGGGAAGTGACGAACGTAAGAGAGGATGAGTAGCAAACAATCCCCCAAACCCGCAGGGTGTCGTTTCCCCGAACCTGAGCTGGGAGCTCAGGACCGCCATAGAATACTCTGCCACAACAAGTGATCCACAATGAGATCAACTCGTCGACAGGAGATCACCAAGACTGGATTACCCGAGATGACGTCCAGGAAAATAGCTGATGATGGAGGAGATGAACCATCGAGAACCTGCTCGCTCTCAAAAGAGGAGTAGTCAAATCTGACACGATGATGGGACTACACGCCTGGAATAAGCGCCCCCTAGCCGATGTGCTCAAATCATATCCCATGCCACCATGGCATTCAAGATCAGCGTGCCAGCTTGTACTTGCATCGCAACTGATCGCAGGAGTCCACCTCCAATAGTCCTTATTATTTGAACAGCTATATTTCCTTGTCGTGCGCGAGCAAGCCCATTGAGGAAAGCCGACAGAACTTGACTCGGATCTCCGTAGACACTTCTTCAATATTTGGATCATACTGTTAATGAAATGCTGAAATACATTTTCTTACCCTGTTTTTCGTGAAAAAATTATTGAATAGATTCAACAATTAAAAATGAAACCGGATGGGATGTTAATAGTTTTCTGAACCAGGAATAAAAATACTTGTACTTTTCCCAAACTTAGGAGGGAAAATGATATTCGGCCTTCATAAAATTAATCTGACAGGGCATAAAAAATAAAAAGCCACGTGGTGGTGTGAGAGCGCGTGGAATGTCGATAACGTCAAGACGCGTACAATGGCGGATGGCCGCCCCCACCAAGGCAAACAAAAAAAAACCGGTTTGAGCCCGTAAGTTCGAGAAAAGGCACAAAACAAAAACGATAAGTAAAATTCATTCCTCTCCAAAATCATCTCTGCATTAAATTTATATAAAAAGAGAGGAAATTTGAGATAGATAGACATAGAGATTGAGTTTTAAATTGTAGATGGACGTGACACCGGCCGTGATAGCTCATACACTTAAAGATGCCTCCAATTGGTGGGAAGATGTTAATGAGTCACCGCTCTGGCAGGATCGTATCTTCCATGTCCTCGCCGCCCTCTACGGCTTAGTCGCCGCCGTAGCTCTGGTGAATTTACATTTTATAAAATTACAACTCCATTTTCAGTTTTTTAGGGTTTTTATGATTTTTAGGAATTTTCTTTTTATTAATATTAGTTTAAATTTAATTTAATATTGTGTTTAGGTTCAACTGATTCGAATACAGTTAAGAGTTCCTGAGTACGGCTGGACCACGCAGAAGGTCTTTCATTTTCTTAATTTTCTGGTGAACGGAGGTTCGTATTCTAATTTTAATTTTGTTTAAATATATGTAGTTTTTGAGGAAAAAAACATGTATCAAAGACTTTTTATTTTTCTTTGGGTAAATTATTCTAATAGCATTTTTTTATATTTAAGCTGAACTCTACAAATTATGAACGAAAGCACTTCAAACTTAGTATTAGTATGATTTTTGTTAACTTTGGTGTTTTCTTTTTTATTTTGCAGTTCGATGTTTAGTATTTGTTTTTCGTCGGAATGTGCAGAAGTTACAGCCTGATGTTCGTATTTACATGGGTTATTTCTTGTACTATGTTCTATTGTTCATCTTCTTTCTCAATTTCTAACTATGTTGATTTTTTTTTTTAGATTCTTCAACATATTCTGCTTGATATGCCAAGTCTTGCTTTCTTCACGACGTATGCCCTTTTGGTTCTGTTTTGGGCTGAGATTTACTATCAGGTTAGATTCTATGTTAGGGTGGTTGTAATTTCCATGTTTTTGCTTTCCTTGGAATAAGTTGGTTAAACTATAACTTAGTCTTGTATGTTAAACAGGCACGTGCAGTATCTACTGATGGACTGAGGCCGAGTTTCTTTACTATTAATGCAGTAGTTTATGCTGTTCAGGTGAAACCTTTTGTTCATTATTTCTCTTCCCAGCAAAAGGAAAGATTTGAGTTGGCATTCCTTCTTCGTGGAAGCTAGTCATGTTTCAAGAGAAAAAGCATTATAATGTTTTCTGCTTATTTTTCTTATTTTGTTAATTTATTTATATATTAGAAGATTACTGTAGAAGTTATTTAGGTGAGTGGATTGCTATCTTTAAATAGTAATAATTATGAAATCAGGTTATTTAGTGAATTTGTAAACAGTTTATGAAGACAATTTAAGTGAACAGTTTGTATTTTAAACATATCTTCATTCCAAGCTAGAATTATCTGAAGAATGCAACTTACTGATTTATTTGCTTGTTATCTTTGAATCATGTGGGAATCAATTAAATGGAAAAGTTAAGGTTTCTATACATTACCATCATCTCTTGGTGTTACTGGATGGAGCCAAGGATGTTGGGAGTCATACAAGGACGCAATGTTGAGGAACTTTTTCAGTTTTCACATACAAGTTTTGGATTATGGATTGGGTTTAGACCTTGGTTGGGAATTTGGGTTGGGAATTTGATCGATTAGAACTTCTCAATAGAGATGGGACCTATCTCTGGTAGGTGAACTAAAAAAAAAAAAGAGAATGCTGTCCAATGGTTGAGGATTGAATGTCTGTTGATTTGATGAGTTGAAAAATTTTGCGCAATACGTTGTTTGCATGGTCTGTATTGCATCCCATCCTCCTTACAAATTATACAATTTAAAAATCCATGGCATATGGCGAAATTTCCTAGATTAATGTTATGAGTTTGTAAACTTTTAGTACCATAAATTCTTTGCCCCAATAACATCCTAAATTACATTAATCCCACATATTAACTCATTAATGATGTAATTTTGGGGTCTCTTTTTATAATAGATAATGAAACTCATTATCTAGTTGTCCTTCACATGTGGTTCTAATGCATCTTTTTTGATATAGGCCTATTAATGAGATTGTTGTGTTACTACCCTATAGTTAATTCCCTACTATTAGGACTTGACTTTAGTGAATTTTGGATTTTCTTGGAATATTCATATGTTGCTATGTTGGGTTGATTTTCTTTGAGAACATCTTTTGTTGTTGTAAGGGTTTTTTATGGGCCACATATTGAAATAATTTTATTGAGTTTTTTTTTTTTTTTTTTTTTTTTTAGAATTTAATAAATTATTAATATGCTACTATATTTATTGGCATGAATAAATTAATAAAATAATCACGTTATAACCAAGGATACAGAAAACTTATGATAGGATTTGGATGGGTGCCTTCCAATTCACCTTTCTACTATTGCATACCGCCTAGACACATAAACCTTTTTTCTCTTCATCTCTTTACCCTTTTTCCAATTTAGGTATTCTCCTTGTAGGTTTTAGTTACATTATGTTTTGTAAATGTTAATATTGAACCCCGAGGGTTAGAGTGTGCATGTACTGCTACTAGAAATGTGTTGCAATTAAGTCCTATGTTCTTATGTTGCAACTAATTATATTACCTTATCATTGAAAGATAATGCATATAGTTTTCCATATCGATCTTCTGAACTTCCATCAGTTTATGGTTTTGGAAAATATTCTATTCTTTTTACTTCTCTTATTTTTATCTTTATTTTTTTTACATCATTTATGTAGTGTTCAAATGACGCACGAATATTGAATACTCGTATATGATATGAGCACTATATGATACAAATTAATTATTGGGGATACTAGTGTTATAGGTTGTGTTATACTATTAATAAAATATGTATTTTATGTTATAATATATATTTTACTATAGGGTTTAGATACTGTAACTTAAAACTTTATACTATCTGTTGACACCGTTTGTGAGCCATTGATTAATTTCAATCTAAGGATGTTGGGAGAGAAACTAAAAAGTAGTTTTAATGCCAACTTAATAATTGTTAATACTATGGGATTGAAATAAATCAATGGCTCATAATTAGTATCAACAAACTATGTAAAATTTAAGTGACTATATCACAACCTTTTATGAGTGATTAAGGGTTTTGGTTGAACCAAGAGATTAGGGGCTCAACTTTCATTGAGGCACGTACTTGGCATATTATATATGACTAGTAAGGTTATTGGGTCTGATATTCTTTTTGGTTTGGATATCGGCGAACACTTAAGAAGTTTTGATGGATTTCTGGGTATATAAAATGTTTATATGTATAAGAAAATTTAATTATAAAGCTATTATAGATTGCAACAATAAGATATTTAATCGTTTAACAAAAATTGAGATTCTATATATTAAATATCAGATCTTAGTTCTAGTTTCGTTTGCTGGTGAATTACTTCATGAGATTGATTTAATGTTTTAATTATGAGATTAAGGTGTCTAAATTGACTATGATGCATTTACTGACCTGCCAATCATTCTAAGTTATTATTTACTCCTTTGTGAAAGTCTTCCATACTTGAACATCTGGAGTAATATACTATACTTATTGATAAAGTGCGGCTGGAATTTTATAAAGCAAATGGCAATTATATCTGTCATCTGGATATTGGGTTGTATGGCTGGTGCTAATTTTGAAGTAAATTTTATGTAGCTGGATGCTTTATGTTTTGTTGCTTACATTCTTCTTCTTTGGTTAAATTGTTTTCAGATTGCTTTGTGGTTGATCTTATGCTGGAAGCCTATCCATGTTGTAATAATCCTATCTAAGATGTTCTTTGCTGGTAAATTCTTCACTAGAAAGCTTTACAAATTATATACGCTCAACTTATTCTTATTTTTACATTGAGGAACTTCCCTTCAATCTATATGTACATCTGCAGGAGTCTCCTTGTTTGCAGCCCTTGGGTTCTTACTTTATGGTGGAAGGTAATAATGCCTGCATCTTTGTGCATGCTTTACCATATTTTTGAAAGACATAAGTGCACCGGTGGCTTTAGTATCTATCATGAATGAATTTTGTTATTTTAATAAAATTCTGAATATTCATTGTTGCATCAGTGGGCTTATGTTGTTCCCATGTGTGGAGGACTGCAAACTATTAACAACTTAGACACAATTGCTTTCTCTATGAAATAAATAGTAGTAACCTATTTTTGTGTGTAAAAAATCATGTCCTGTCTATTTCTCCTAGTGTACAAATTACCATCCAGTCATATTTATATTTTGTGGGTCCCAACAAGAAAAAATGAATGCAACTATAGCGATAAATAGAATGGTTCTTCATGTGTTCAAATAGGAAAAGATTCATGGTTAGAGCAGTTAAAGTAAGCTGGATACTAATTGCTAAGTAATAACTTGACCTAAATGCTAAGCTCATAAGTAAGGGATCAACTAGTAATGTTTAAGCTTTAACACATTAGCTCCAGTGCGTTTAGCATATAATTCATCATCAACCATGACCATAACAAGCTATTTAATTAAAAATATAATACTTCTTGATTAACCTAAATCTAATACCATGTTAGGTGATACTTTGGATTTGGTTAAGCATATTCAAGTTGCACTTTTGAAAGTGGAGCTTATTGAAGTAAATCTTCTCCAAAGTGCTTTTATGAAAAAGTTGGTTGTTTGGTTAGATTAATGTAAAAGAGTTTTCTAGTTGAAGTTACGAAGAAGGGTTTTAATATAACAAGAATGATAAAGCAAAATGGTTACAATAATGTGGGGTTATTTTTGACATTTTAAAACATTAAATAAGAATTTTGAGCTTCTCCTTGTAGGCTTAAAACAAAATACTTAACTCACCTATGTGCTCTTTTTGAGTGGTAACTGAACAACACAAATCTTGACAAGTGCTTTTTACATGACAAAAAGCTATTTTCATTGGTAGATAAGTCCAACTGAATGGACACTCAAAAGCTTAAGTTTATAGATAGGGGCAAGAATAGTATTTGAGTTTCTAGGTAATTTTGTGTCAATATTAATTAAGTTTTACATACACAACACGGCTCTATTTATGGTAAAAAATAAATAAATAAATAAAAGAAAAATAAAAGAAAAAAGATATTGGCTGATGATCCTTTTATAATTGGTAATTGGACGGTCAACTTTTAAAAAAATATAATTTTAAAATCAAATGACCTAATTTGTGTCGAATAAGTGTAGAAAAGAAAAATCTATTATTAATGGAATCTCTAAGCTTATTAGTTTCCCGTATTATGCATCTGTATCCTGCATTGAATGAATGCTCCCTTTGATATAATGATTACGCAAATTCAGATCAGATTCCAATGAATCTTTCAGAATTTGGTAAAAGTATACTTTTTGTATTAAAAATGAAATTTGAAATAAGAACAATAGAAAAATAAAAGAAGTAAGAATCGAATAATAAAGAAAGTGGATTATCATATGTATATTTCATGGAGAAAGATGAATAAGTTCGAATATCTAGTTCTACGTTCCTTGCACTTATTCTATATACCAACTTAGAAATTCTTAGTGTACTTCTATATGAATTCTAATTATTATAAAATATCTTTGTAATAATAACAGGTACAAATATATTAACCGAGGTACTTATGCTATGACAATTCTCAACGACTTACCTTCTGTTTTTGTGCCATTAGTGGGCCTAGTAATTCCGGCAATTGCAATGGCTTTTTTATATCTTCATGTTCAAAAGAATAAGATGACATCAACCTGTAACTCTCTAATTAACTAGCTGAGTATTGACATATCATCTTTTAATCTTACTTTTTTTGTCTCACTCCCTAGTTAGATCTTGTTTATTTTCATAGGCTGGGTGCTAGTCAACTATCTAAAACACTAACATACTAGGTAACATTGCCTACCAACCTTTATAAGTGTGAGATCTAATCTGTTTTATATGGTGTGGGATCACAACACTAATGCAGAGACCATAACAGTCATTTTGGCATGTGCAATCTTCAGTGCTGTTATGTTATTTTCAGTGTTCCATTACCTAAAGTGGTGATCCTAAAGAATTCCCATTTTGGTGTTGATGAGCTTTGGAGGTAAAAAAATTAATTGTCCTTCTAAGAGTAGATTCATGCTTAAATTGCAGTCTTTCATGTTCAACAGTTATTGACAATTACCAGATTGTTGAGCATTATGCCAAAGCCGAAAAACTTCCATGCAGCTAGTTGCTTCACTTTCCATTTAGGAGTTGTGTATCCCATTGTTGATCAATTACACATTTTCCTCCCTCCCCAATACTGAAATTTAAAAGCCTCTTTTCAGTCGGTTGCTTTGCTTGCCACACTATGTAGCCCATGCTTACTATGCATACTTTTTTTTTTCTGCTGAGGGAAGAAACCTGGCATGAGGGGAATAAGTATAGAGGAACATCTTTATTGTCTCTTAGAGTCTGCATTTAGACACCTGGTTTCATAAAGTACTAATATCCTATGGCAGTCCTATAATGTTCAAACCAAATTATCACCATTTAAAGATATTAGTAATATGCTAGCTCATTTAAATCAAGGTTTTGCCTAAAAGATCGAATATGGTGCCAAGCATGGTGTTGTATGTGTGCAATTTAGAGATTTAACGAGTTACCTGTGGTTGATTTAACAATTTAACTGAGGTTCAGAGTGGTATTATTTTATATACTATTCATTTCTTATGCATTTCGCTTAATTGCAATTCCTTTAAGTGACATCACTATTTAGTTCCAATGAAACATTTTTCATCTATGGATGTCACATGCAACTTGCATGTAACTACTCTTTTTGTTGAAGAGATGGGCAATGATCTGGTGTTATCATGATGCAGGCTGTTCTTAATGTTGCAGCGTTTCCCTGTAGAATCAAAAGGTCGTCGTAAGAAGCTGCAAGAGGTAATTATGTGTTTTCGACAGGCGGTTTTTCTTGTCTATCCATTTCCATCATATGTTACTTTATTCTTTTAAAGTATTTTTTCTGATTACCTTTGACAGGTTGGCTATGTGACCACCATATGTTTCACATGTTTCCTTGTTAGATGTGTAATGGTGAGTTCTTTAATATGATTGTTACTTTGTTAATGTTTAACATTTGGGGAGTTTGTTCCTTTTCACAACTTAAAATAGCATGCCACAAGGATGGTTAATTAGATTTTTGTGGTGATTTTCTCTTTAATGCAACTATCAGCAATTGGCAGCTTTTTCATTTAAGATATTTGTGCTGATTGGTTCAGGCTGTTTAATTTGAGTTCTGCTTATATATTCTGTATCCAATTTTACTGAAGCACATATGTGGGCAATAGATTGGTAGGTTTTGTGGCTTGTGATGTCTTTTATACAAGCTCATCTAACTTTATCTTTTTATTTTTTATTTTTTTCCCTTTTTTCTATAGATGTGCCTTAATGCATTCGACAAAGCTGCAAACCTTGATGTTTTGGATCATCCTGTCCTAAACTTCATATACTACCTGGTAAGTTCTGGTATAAATGTGGTATAAAAATGTCAATAACATACTCTTCTTTAGATATGTTCTTGTGGGAGTTCAGAACAAGAAGTTTTCTATTTGTTTTTTCAGCTATACTATTAGACATGTCAATGATGCCCATGAACATAATCAAATGCATTGTAGAAGCTTACATTATTTCAGAACTGTTCATATGTATTGGTCAATGAGTGGTCTTCGTCTGCTACCTTTTGGTCATTGATATAATTATTCTTAGAAAGGTGCATGATGGTTTTCTTAAATTATACTGTGCCAAATAGAGATGAGTCAAGTTATGATGGCTGTTTATTTCCTTGGAACTATTTAGTTTAGGTCACAACCTAGGGTTCTTGTGCTGAAACTTGAAACTTACAAAGGAATGGTGGTTGAGAATCTAGTAGTGTATTAAGAATTGCAGTTTTTGGTTTAGGTCAGGCGGTGTAGCTTACTAAGGAATATTTTTTAAGGTATGTATGGGTTTTTGATGATCCCAATTTATAATTGCAGTTAGTGGAAATATTACCTTCTTCATTGGTGCTTTTCATCCTGAGGAAGTTGCCTCCAAAACGTGGTATTACACAATATCATCCTATACGCTGAAGAAATTGGAAATGGAGATATGGCTGAAAGAGAAAGGAATCAATGCTTGTTTCAGTTTTGGAGATGCTTTATTTACCCTTCAATGAGAACAAAGACACGATAAGGGTAGAGGAAAATACACCCCTTCTGTATTTGATGTTATGGGATGTTAATTGGTATTTTGGGGCTTGCTTGTAAGTTTTAGAAAGAAATGATAGACCTGCTAAAGGATTGTGAAATATGTTCTGTTGTGGGTTTATAATACATGCTTTTTGGCTTTTCAAAAGTTGCACCCAACCATTCTATTATAGAAAAATGGTTAAATTTATTTCTCATTTCCTTCTCTAACAAAGTTCTTTGTATGAATTGATTAGTGAAAATGAATTATTCAGACAGAATTTGAGTTGAGAACATGATGCATAAAATATCTTTAGAAAAATTGTAAATATGTAAATCTAAATATATGCGTACTGGGAAACAAATTCGACGGATCTGAGGAGCATACCTTTTGAAATATGAATAGCAGGTAGCTGGGTCATCTTCACTGGATGTCAAATCTTCTTGGGAGTTTGCCTGCAAACTTGTGGAACCTGTTAATGTATTGACATGGAAGAAGGTGAACAAAAACTCTTGCCGAAACTATGGTTGTGTGGTGAAACAAGGATGGATTGAAGAGATTAGTTGAGAAGGTTGACTGACTGGTTGGTTGATGCTCTACCATTCTGAATCTGGTTACCATTTTGAATGTTAGGTTTTATGATTGTTTCAACTTCCAAGAGATTATTATTATCTACAAGTCTATTCATATTTAACATTTACCCTCTTCATCTCCATACCAACTATTTTTCAATTTAAGAATTTTATATAACATCTCCAGGTAATCATGCTTTTGTGATGCAATTTTTTTATCGGGGGTGTCTGAGCTAGTTTGTACGTATATCAACTAATATTCGAGGTTCATTGAATATCTTACAAATCTAATGTTTTAAGATAAGTCACAAATGTGGTAGGTGACATCAATGTTCAAACCTAAGAAGTCAATGAAGGAAGCAAACCTTATTGACCGTCAGTCCAACCTATTAAGGTGCATTTGGGTAAATGAATGTTGGATTACTGAGAATATTATATTAATAGAAAGTTATATTACCTTGAAGACTATTGTGAATATTTAGGAAAATATGTTTGGCTAGTTGGAATAAATTAGTGGATATGTTTATTAATATGTTTGGTTGGGAGAAATAAATTGGTGGGTATGTTATTTAAATTACTAAATTGCTCTCTTTTTAAATATTAATATAGTATTATTTTTATTATTAATTTTTGAATAATTTTTTGTAACCCCCAACATTTCAAATTTAGCTAAAACACCCCAGTTTATACAAAACTTTAATTTATAACAAAATAACCCCCACCACCCTAAGCCACTGCCAACCACCGTCGGCTGCCGTCGGAAAGTCGTCAAGAGTCTCTAAAAATTGTCGAGAGTCATTAGGAGGCTATGATATAGTCGTTTTTTGCCATATTAATGGCTGAAAACGATCATATCGGAGTAGATCTAATCGTTATTAGATCCATGGCCGTTATCAACCATCAATATGGCCATATCAGAGCCTCCCAGAGACTCTCGATCATTTTTAGCGACTCTGACGACTTTCCGGCTGCGGCTGATGATGGTTGGCTTGCTATCAACGGTGGTGGATGGGTGGCGGTGGTGATCTGCAATTTGTTTTAAATATAAAGACATTATTGTCCAAAAACTTAATTAAACAAGGGTGAAATTACAATGGTGAATTAATGTAAATATATTTTAAAACAAGGGCATTATTGTCCAAAATTTTTATTAATAAGGGATAAAATTATAACAAAAATAAGATAATCAAGTAATCTTACAATACCTAAGAAAATTGAGGTTATAAAATTACCTCCAATATTATTAATAATAATTACTATTGGTATTAAAAGATTACTGGAATCTTATATTACTTGATAACCAAATGTGGTAATCAAGTAATATAAGATAATATAATCCGAGTAATCGCATATAACCCCCAACCAAATACCCCTTCGGAGTTATAATGCACAAGTTTTCGACTCTCTCCATCTTAGTTATTGGTCTATTAAAATGAATGCGACAATATTACTTTAGTTCAGGTAAATTTTTTTAGATTTTAATTGCTTTTGTTTTCTTGGTAAAGAAGTTGATGAGCGTAGTGGGCTATACAGGCCCATCAATACTAGCTATACCAACACCCATCACAACACTTTTGGAATATTAATTAAATATGCAGAAGTTTGGGGGCTATAATAATTGACCAAAATTTTGGGCCCTATTCTTTCAATCCAAATAAAGGAACCTTCTCCCTTTTTGCCGCTCGTATAAAGAGGCTAATTTTCCCATTTTTGCAAATTTTTTGGAAAATAAAACGTGAAGTTGTATTCCTCCTCCAAATCGACGAATGAAAATTGGAAAATTTGTGATTGGAAGTCATAAAATCGGCTTTTATCTTAATATCAAGGAAAGATTTCTTTGAATATAGGGTAGAAGGTAAATTCTATTTTTAAATCAATGTCCATGAAAGTGAGGGTTTTGTGAGAGTTTGGTTAAGGTTTATTGTTTACTTTGATTTTTATTGTTTTGGTAATGCAATGAAGTTGTTTTTGGTGTATAAATGTAATATATGAAGTATATTTATGATAAGGTTCTTTTAATTTAATTTGTGTTTGTGGTTTTTATGCATTTAAGAGACCCGCAGCTGCAATGCTGATGGAACACAAGATTGTTCTGTTTATACCACATAAAATAAACTGTAGCCGAAAGGACTAACTACGAGAGAAGGTGCCCAAAATCCCCTTTACGCTTAAGATGCAAGCTAGCTCACTGGAGCAAAGAGAACCAAGAGGAAGATGGCCAGGCAATGAGTGTCCTAGAAGTAACCTCTCTCAAAACATAAGAAGAGAAGTCACAACTAAAGAGCAGATGCTCATGAGCCTCTGTAGTAGACCTGCACAAAAGGCACACAGAAGATGCAATGACACCATGAGAGCTTAGACGATCCACGGTGCAAAGTTGACCGAGAGAAGCAAGCCATAAAATGAAGGAGTGGCATGGAACATGCCCCGAAAACCACAAGAGATGATGAATCGAGTTGACATCCCATCTGTCCCGTAACACATTCTAAGTTGAGTCAATGGAGAATCTCCTAAAAGGGTGACCCTTCCAGACAAAATGGTCAGGAAGACCCAATGAAGGTCATATCGTTATAGAGTCTCAGATATGCTGAAGATCTGCACTACCCATAGGAAAAATCCTGAGCCATCTTGAATGATATATGAAACCCTAGCATCCCAAGGAAACCCAGTATAAGTCAGAGTCTTGAAAGGAAACAAAGCACATAGAGGCCCCTGCGGTAGCCAATAATATTGCCATAAAGAGGTATCTCTGTCATTACCTATACAAGTCACATTTGTTAGAGTAGGTGACCTAAAGCCAATAACTTTTTGTAATATGACTTTATGTATCATGTTATTCTATTAATAAAAGTTATTATTTACATTATGTAAATCGTATTCTATATGTATGTAATAATATATGTCTTTAGAGTGGTGGAATTGTGACAAGAGAATTAAGTGGTTATAAGTCTTGATTGTGAGAATCCTATAAACACATATGATAACCATTCAAGAAACGTTCATAGCCCTAGTATTATTCTAACCTAGGGCACAGATAATACGATAAGACTATCATAGAGTTGAACGACCCTACCAAAAGGTAGTGACAGATCTCGCATATCAAAGTTGTTTGGTGACAACTTGGTGAGATGCATGGGTGATTATTATTCATGACTTCACTGGACTGGCCCACATAAAGGATTTCATATAGATGGCAATCCCAATGTCTATGGAATGTATCCTCTAACGGATGGTGGTGCATGTGATCCTTAAACTTGAGATCACCAAAGCACCATGTGTAAATATTAGTGTAGTTTGACGCTAGCCAAACGTGATCCTATTTAGGGTTATTAGTATGGTAGTGATTGACTACATCAAGAAGTACACTATGGCTATGGTGGGTCAACAAAGGATTCATCACTCTTGGGTACAAGAGAAATTATCTCAGTGAGATATTCAGTAAAAAGCAATGATCTTAAATTTGTGCCATAGTGGAATTAAGTTGTTGCTCGAATCCAATTTCGTTTGGTCATTGGTTTGGTAACCAAATACTATTATATCAAGGTGATTCATACTTGAAGCTGACACTATTTCTGTGCTTCAACCCTTGATGAGATAATAGGTGATGAAATGATTGAATTGCACGGTAACCATGTCATTGATAGGTAGTTGTTTCGCTAAATCCAAATATATTGGGTGGCCATGATGCCTTGCTAGAGTCCAATCTTAGTTGTGTGTAATGAGACGATTAATAGGGTGTTAATCGCGATATTACCCACTGCTAATATGATAAGGAACCCATGAGTCACACATTTAGAAGCCAATTTAAGAAAGATTAAATAAAAGGGTGGTTTTATCATTTTTTTATGAAAGGGTATTTTGTAATCTTACAGTACAATTAAATTTGTTGAAAGGTTGTTGCCCATATCCAATTTTATATTGGAATTTAATTTGTAAAGTTACTATTGTGTGCGAAAAATCCCTAGCCCTCACTAAGTAAAGGAGCCCGAGACGTCTCCGCATCCATCATTAGCTACAACATAGGGGCATGTTAGATTCCGGCCACCGTGCGACATCGAACATCGTGGCTGACACACTCACCATCATAACATTTCAAAACTCTCTCTCCATATAAAACGACAATAGCCATATGAAAAAGAAGGGAAAAAAAGGGAGAAAGAAGGGAGAGACACATAAAAAAAAAAACGAGAGAGAGAGAGAGGGAGAGAGAGAGAGAAAGAAACAATAAAGATACACACAGATACACTCGGACAGACAGAGAAAAGAGCTATCAAACATGACCCCCTTTACTCTCAGGCCTCAAGGCCAACTAGAAAGATTTTTCCAATCACCAGAAAAATCCATCCTTTGTATACCCAACACCACACAAATTAATAATATATCAGTGGATGTAGACCTTATTCGCTTTCCCAGCCGAACTACTTTAAAAACTTCTAGTTTTCCCTGTTAGGTAGGTGCTTTAGAACCAATCAAATTGTAGTTGTTAACTACTTGTAAATATGTTGATATTAATAAAAGCATATCTATGTTATGTAAATCGTATTTCATATATGTGATAACATATGTCCTTAAAATGATAGAACCATGACGAGGGAATCAAGTAGTGATAAGTCTTAATTGTGAGATCCCTATGAGCACATTTGGTGGCCATTCAAGAAACGCCCGTAACCCCAGTATTATCCTGAATTAAGGGCACAAATAATACGGTAAGACATCACGTTGAACAACCCTATTGAAAGATAGTAATAGATCTTGCATGTTAAAGTTGTTTGGTAACAACTTGGTGCGACGCATTGAGTAGTGAAAATATAAATGTAAGGGTAATTTTATAAATGGATGAGGTTTATTCAGACATTTATATATGCTTTAAAATTTTAATGGGATAAACATAAAGTGAAGTATATAAAGATAAATGATCAGCATCACTCTTTATTTATTATAATTTTTAATACCAAAATATATTTAATTAAAAATTCAAATGTTTTTCAAGATTAAACTCAAACGCAGCCCATTATGAAACGGCCCGTTAATGACCCAAACCAATAAAATCAAACCAAACCCGCTTTTAACGAATGGGGCAATTTGATAAATTCACTGAAGAGTGGTAATACTTCTGATGTATTCTAGATTTTTTCAATGTGATTGAACGAATGAGATTTAGTAATTCCAATCTCTCTGTGTAATAATACTTCAAAACAAACGAGGAAAACGCAAATATTTTCAACTTTACATTCCAAGTGAAGAAAACTTTAATATGCAAGTACATAACCTCAATTATATTACTAACAGTGTTTTAAAACTTGGACTGGACTAACCAGTCAAACTGGTTTGATCGGAAGCCGAGCCAGTTGAGATAAAAAATCTGCACCCCTCATCTGCCCGGTTACACCCGCGGTTTGACCGGCGCACTATAGCAAACCGTCGGTCCAACCTTTTTTTTCTTCCAAAAAACCGAGTCTAATACAAATAAACCCTATCATCACCTAAACCCAAATTCCAGCGATTCCACACCCCCCCCCCCCCCCCCCCCCCCCCCCCCTTTCCCTTTTTATGCCATTTCCCTCACATTTGCTTTGAAAATCTTCTACCGTGACTCCCCTTCATTGTTGATTTCCTCTCTTCACCATGGACTTCCTCCTCTTCATCGTCAGTTGGTACTGAGACTCTCTTCCTCCCATTTGCGTGACTCCTCTCTTCAGTCTTCACCGTCGATCTCCTCCTCTTCGTCGTCAACTGCAACTCATCTTGCCTAGGTACTTTTGTCTCTTCCTCTCATTTGCACGATCTCCTCTCTTCACCGTCGAGCTCCATCTCTTTGACATCAACTGCAACTCATATTCGCCAAGTGCCGTCATCAGTGCTTCCTTTGTTCTCTACTCCCTATTTACTTTAATTCACTGTTGGTATGCATCTTCTTATGTGCATCCATCATTTTTTCATTTCTTTTGAAAGTTTGTGATTTTCTGGCGGGTTTTAAAGCATTGGCTCCTGGCCCTTGTAGCTACTCTGGCTTGGTCATTCAGGTGATGGTTTGATACTCTCTTGTAGTTTATGGATTTGATAATAACTTGATGGATTTTGCTTTGAATTTTTGGGTTGATTTTTCGGTGAAGTATGTGCTGATAATTTCTTGTTAAATTGTTCCTTTTCTTTTCAAGTTTAGTAGTAGAAGTAGCAATCTTATAAACTTTAATTTGAGGAGAATATCTTATGTTTACACAGTACACACACATGCCATGCAAGAATTAACCAAACATATTGAATCTCCTAATTGACTTAATTTAATATCTTCGTTGAATAAGCATATATTCAAATCTCCTATTTCAATGTTTTAGGCAGCGGCAACATCGATCAGCACGGTGCTAGCTATATATGGTCAAATGTTGCTAGAAACTTTATAATTATCTCTTCTGACATTATAAAACCTTTAATGTAATTTCTGAAGATATTTTCTTCTCTTATGCACATGATTTCTATAAATTCAGCAATAAAATATGGAAATTTTTGGTTTGTTATGTTGTTTGATTATTATCGATACTAACTTATTTGTGTCGCCAAGGTAGAGATCAAGATTAATGACAAAGAATGCTATCATTTGGGTCTTGTCAATAATCTACTTCCATGGATGTTTCACAATCTTTTCGAGGAAGGAATGATATAGCATGAAGACATGTTAATGAGGGCATAGATGAAAATGGGAAAAAGATATTAACATGTCTTTACTGTGGCAAGATAATCAGAGGTGGAGGTATTTATCGAGTGAAACTACATCTAGCGGGTATAAATGAGGAAGTTGGAAAGTACTCTAAAGTTCCTTTTGATGTTAAATTCAACATTGAAGAAGCACTAAACAAAATTGGGGCAAAGAATAAACAAAAAGTTAAACTTCGTAAGAATTGTCAATCCTTATGGAGCTAGTGTACAACAATTTGAGGGTGATATGTTAGATGAAGATCAAGATTGTGAAGAGGTTTCTCTATTTCCAGCTCCAACTTCAACTTCAAGCACTAAGAGAAAAATACCTATTAGGATTGGTGACTATTTTACTCCAAGGACTAAGTCTGGGTCTCAACCCTCAATTAAGAGTGTTTTAGTAAAAAAAGAAGCTTAGTGGAGAGCAGACATGGCTGTTGCAAGATTATTTTATGATTCTTGCATCCTAACTAATGTTATTAATTCAATTTATTTTCAACCTATGGTGGATGCTATAACTACAATTGGTCCTGGGTATAGACTCCAAACTTATCATAGTTTGTGTGTAAATTTATTGAGAGATGCTAAGAAAGAAGTGCAATTACTTATTGATGGTTACAAGAAAACTTGGGAGGATGTTGGATGTACTTTAATGGGTGATGGTTGGATAGATAATTCACATATGTCGTTGTTTAATTTTCTAGTGTACTGTCTGTCTTAAAGGAGTGTGTTTTGTGAAATCAGTGGAGGCTTCAGATGTTGTGAAGGATGCTGGAATATTGTTCAGCTTGATTGAGGAACTAGCTTTATGGGTTGGACCAAACAATATCTTTCATCTTGTCACTAACAATGGAGAAAATTATAAAGTTGCTAGAAGAATGTTGTGTGAAAATTATAGCAGTATTACTTGGTCTCCCTGTGCAGCACATTGTATTAATTTGATGTTAAAAGAAATAGTTGAGATAAATCACATAGTTAACCTTTCGAGACATGCATCTGAGGTTACAAAGTTTGTGTATAATCATTCGTTTGTGCTAGCTTTGTTGAGGAAAAAACAGGTTATATATCTTTACCTCATATGTTTGTAATTTACATTGTCAAGTATATATATATATATATATATATATATATATATATATATACACACACACACATACATTTTTTTCATAATTTACTAAGTACTAACATCTACTGTCTATCACTTGAATAGCGTTGGACGGAAATTGTACGCCTAGGCGCAATCCGTTTTGCCACAACTTTCATTGCATTGAGCAGCCTACATCAGCATAAACATGACGTGCAATCTACGGTGACAGAAGAGCTTTTGTGGAGTCTCAATATGCAAAAACTAATAAAGGCAAAACATTTATTTCCCTAGTTCTAGATAATTGATTCTGGAATGACATTGGTATAATTTTTAGTCCATTGATGCGTATGCTTCGGATTATAGACTCAAATAAGAGGCATTCAATAGGATATGTGTATGATGATATGTACAGAACGAGGATGGGGATCAAGAAGTTGTTTAAGAATAAAAAAAATTTGTACAAGCCTTATACAACAATTATTAAGAGACGCTAGGATAGGATATTGCATTGTGCTATTCATGCAGCAGCATATTATTTGAATCCTGCTTTTAAATATTATGAAGATACTTTTTCCAAAAAAACCAAGGGTCATGTATGGTTTCCTTGACAATATTGATAATAAAGCAAGTGCATTCAAAATGAACAAGACAATGTTACTGGAGGAGAATAGATTATATCGAGACCGTCTAGAAAGCTTTTCTCGTGAGCTTACTCTTCAAACATGCAAAACTACACATCTTGGTATGTAATAGTTATTAACTTTTTAAGTCTAATTTTTCAGTGATGAATTATGAAAATTTGTTTATTTCTTATGTTTTATACTTTTATTCTCAATTAGATGAATGGTGGAAGACATTTGGGTTTCGTGCTCCAAATTTGCAAAAGTTTACAATCAAAATCCTAAGTCAAACTTCAGCCTCTTCGGGATGTGAGCGAAATTGTGTGTTTTTTAACGCATACATACTAAAAAGAGGAACATATTAGAGCATCAATGGTTAAATGATCTGGTTTTCACTCATTATAACTTGCATTTGCAAAATAAGTATAAAGCCTTCATCATTTTTCTTATTAATTATTATCTCTTATTTTATTTTTATTGATGTCGTTATTGGTCATGATTTTAACATTTAATTCTAGTCTTTCAAGAGTTGTTACAAGAAAATTATTTATGATCCTGTTGATTTTGAAAGTATTGATAACACTGAATGTTTGATAGTTGATGAGAAAGAAGAGGTTGGTGAACTTAATTATGATGAACTGGAACAATCATTATATGGAGAAAGAGCTATTCCTATAAATGGTGGCGATCACCTTTTTATTATGACTCAACAGATGTTTCAGAAAATTGTTTCCGATTTTTTAAGCAATTTGAATTTGGTAATAACTAGTTTAAATTCAATTAGTTCAAATGGAAAGATTTAACTTCTGGTTTTCCTTTTTTGCTAGAACTTTTTATAGATGATGTTGTCGATGTTAATAATGATGATGATCATCTATCAAATGATATATGAATTGTGCAGCTCAATTGAGGATGGAATTAAAGATCATTGGGTGAAGATCATTTTTTGCTAGAATGTTGATCAAGTATTATGTGATTTCTTCCTTAATTTTGTTATTTTAATTTGTAATTAGTTGTAATAGGGATTGTATTTATGTAATGATGTTTGATGATGTCTTGTTAAGAGCTTTTTATTCAGGAATTTGTGATTTGGATCCTGATTTCTGGAATTCCGGACTCTGTGAACAGTAATTTTGCTGATGTTACCATGCTGACATCAGCATGATGATGTCATCAATTGAACCAGCCGGTTGAACCGGTCAACCCGACACCCGGCCAGTTTGCTGGGTTTTGCCCTAGGTCGGTTTTTAAAACATTGGTTACTAACTACACATGCTTAAGAATTAAAAAACCCAAAAAGTAATTGAGCTTTCCTTAAGAAACGACCCATTCAAAAGTCATATGCTTAATAAATTGAGAAAACTAGGCAAAAGTTACAATCTGGATCACAAAAATGACAGCAATTCTAATTCTTGATTAATTATATTCCTAACCTCTTCACTCCACATTCTGAGCAGAACTTGGAGGTTTCTCTAAGATATGGAGCCCCACATTCATCACAAAACTTTGCAGGGCTGGTTGGCTGCAATATGGACAAATTTACACAGTAAGTAAATCGAAAATAATTTAACTCAATATACAATTTGAGTTCATATTAAAAAACAATCTGACTTCTAAATTTATTACCTCCCAAAACAACCCATATATAAAGTTATTAACTCACCATTACATGCAAGCGCTCTCCGACATGACCTCCTGTGAGAGGTTGTAAGCATGCCATGTGTTGGGAAATTGTTGGTGACTGGTGAGGATGAGCAATTTCAGGCAAGTGTCGATGATTTTGGGAATAGTGGGCTGCATGTTGACCCTGGTGAATAGATTGATGATGATTCTGGTGAATATGATGAAACTGAGGTTGATGTGAAAGTGATTGCATGTGATGTTTTGGAGGAGTCTGCTGTTGATTTTGTGACTGAGGAAAAAGTTGTACATAAGTCCCGCTGATGATGGAAAGAAATAAAATTTAACAAAATTTCTGTGTAGCAGATAAGCCAGACAACAAAACTGCAATTCAAATAAGACTCTGACAGCTTGCCTTAGACCAGAAATTTATTTACGTGTATCCAAATTCTGATTTAACCACAAATGAAGATTCATCTAACATAACAAAGTTGGAGACTCAGAAATTTTGAAACAAAAATTGTTGTGCTGAAAATGGACACTTTAACAATACTATTTTCTTGGCCCAAAAAGGGAAAAAAACTCTTAGAAAAATCCAAAACCACCAAAGTAAGATTTGACTATCAAAGCCATAATAAAGCAAAGTGGAAGCAAGAATAGATTTGGATCATCTCAATGATAATCAGGAATCACAGTAAACAGTCAAAGGTCAAAAGAATATCAACAAGTAACAACTATTATCCTCATCACTGGATAAGAATCTTGGAATCTTAAAGCATATTTTATATTTTTTTTTAAAGTTTTTTCAATCAATTATTTTGATTTCTAATGTTACATCATGCCCACACATGTGGATATGTGACAGAGACTTGGAGCCTAAACAGTCCCATTAGAAAACCTTGCACACTTAATGCAAAAAAGTGAAAAGGTAAAAAGTAAAAAAAGAATAAAGAATAAAAGAAAAAAAAAAAGAACAACAACTAAAGCAGTACTCTTACTTCACTTATAGAGCGAAATCCCTGTGCATTAGCCATAGTAGAAGAATTTTCTGCACCAGGGAATGCCTGAAAAAAGATATAAGAATGAAAAGTTACCTCTATGGTCGAGTTTATTCCTTAAGGCCTATGATTAGGGCATGTTTAAATATTAACAGTAATTTCTGCACCATTATATTTCATTACACTAACAAATCCAACATGTGAAGGTGCCAATGTAAAATATTTAAACCATCGTCATAACTAAATCAACAATGAGACTCTGAAATATTATCATGTCATGGAAGCCTAAAGCAAGTAATATAAGCTATTGAATGTTCTACGTCTACAGGAAACATCACAACCTAGCACATTACTTAATGAAAATGAATCACGTCATGCTTGCAGGAGTAAAAGGAAACAAGCTTACAGGCAAACCAGGAATATTAGATACAGAGTTTGATGTAACACGCCTATACTTGTGTCTTGGGGAATAGAATTTATAATCTTGAGCAGAGATAGCTACTTCATTTCGACCTGTCAATCTTTTAAACCTGTAGAAATGTGCAATCCCATCAGCACAAAGTAGATATGCCGCAAATTTTAATTTATCAGTAGTTAAGAAAGAGATTCATTATCAACGTGACAAGCTTAAGATAAAAACTATGCAGTTAAAAACATGACCCGCTCCTCAACATAATAAAACCAAATTCATGTCTCCCAGATCGGCTTTTCCAAAGAGTGGAAAGTCAGGGCAGAAGATAGGTTTTACCCTTTTTTTCCCTTCAATTTTGGTGGGAGGTAAGAGAATATAGAAATTTGTCAGAGTTACTCTTGTTTGCGAAGTTGAAATATTTAGTGGTGATTTCAAGAAACCCATCCATAGGCACAACTGGAAACATAATATAATGACAAACTCGGTGAAGGATGGTGAGGATGACGTTATATGCTCATTCCTAAATAAATGTGTATACATCCTTTGAATTGTAATCAAACATAAGGTCCAGCAACCTTTCTGATAAATAGAAATTTAGCAAGCAAGCCAGAAACTATTAAGATTCTTATGAAACAGATGAGCATCTGGTCTATAATAAGAGGCATAGGAAGGGGCAGTCGAGGATTAACTGTTGTTATTGGGCAAAAAGAGGTCTTATGTGTGTGTGTGTGTGTGTGAGGGAGATTTGTGTGAAACAGGTGGCAGTAGGAGTATGGTCGTTTGGGAATTCTGTTAGGGAGAGAGAATGAATAGAATAAAAAGGAGACAAGAAGAATTAGAAGGAGATTCAGAGAAGAAAAGTGAAAGGGGGAGGTGGCTGGCCCTCGAAGTTCAGCAGGCTATGTTACTTATTTGTTATCCTGTTTATCTTCATTTTTGTTATTTTTTTTACTTGTTCATGTTGATTGAGTTGAAGTTATCTTGAATTGCTGTAGAGCTCATCATCTTCAATATATATATAATTTATGATATTTCCTGTGCTGTGCAAGTAAGAAAGTTCTGGTTGTGTATTCTGGGTTGATTCATTGTGACTGCTGTGTTGTGTGTTTTGACTGAGTGATTCTGGCCAGGTATCCATCAGATTCTCTCCTCCAAGATGGAGAAATTGGATGAAGGGATGCCTTCATTCTATGAATTTTCAGTCTTCATAAATGCTCGTCCAAGGGGCTGTTTTAGTGCTTCAAGAGAATTAAGCAAAGGAGATCTGCTCTCTCCTCCTCTTTAATTTGCTGGCGACGGATTGAGTAAGCAAATATGGTCAATGCCAACAAGGTTGGCAAGGGTAATGTTGATGTGTCTCAACTTCAATTATTCTTTCTTCCCAATGGGTGAAGTGGTCAAGATAGTCAATTTACTAAGAGTCATTGAATGTTTTAGAATTATTTTACGACTCAGAAAAATTCACGAAGAGTCCTAGTTCTAGGATTATTTATTAGGAGAAGAAAGTCAAACTTTTGTCTATCAATCTGGGATGTTATCATAGGAAACTGACCTATTAATAATGGGTCATGCACCTAGAGATAACTCAAGGTCATACAGTTTTTTGGACTCAATAGTGGAGCAACTCCAAAATACATTAGGGGGATGGAAAAAGGTCTTTCCCTTCAAAAGGAGAGAAGCTTACTTTGTTGCATTCTATCTTGGCTTTTCCTATATACTCTTTCTCTTTTCAGGATTGCTAACAAAAGAGGAGTTGATGAGGGACTTCCTTTGAAAACAGTATAATGAAGGTGACATAAACATATAAGAAGGATGCAAAGGGCTGTTAGTCCTTGTCTTTCCATAGTTTAGGATGTTATTTTTTTTATTAGGATTTGGTTTCTTAAGCCAATAAATAAAGGCTTCTGTTGTTATTGTTAACAAAAATTTTAATGGTTGAATAAAAATATTGGTTCTCTTCCTATTGATTGTCTCTTTCTCTGTTAAATCTTCTAGAATTTCACCCTTCTTGCCATTCTCCCTAATCTAACCTTCTCTTATTCTCCTATCTCCTACTGTTTATCTAATCCTCCGTCTGGTTCTCTTTCAGAAGGTAAAATCGACCAGTCTGGTTCTCTTTCAGAAGTAAACTCTACCAGCATAAAGAAAAATAAAAGCTTGGACAAAGAACTTGATGACTAAAAGATAGGGCTCTTTTGACTAAGTGGCTATTGAAGTCCCGTTTAAAACATCAAAATGATTGGGATTCTGTTAGGATCCCACATTGGAAGGGAAAAGGGTGAGCATGTGGGTTATAAAAGCTTGGGCACCCTCTCTTGGCAAACTGGTTTTCCAAGGAGAGTTCTACCGAAGCCCACAAAAGACCCATGGCCTAACCCAATTGTTTGAGTTGTTGAGGCAGGTTCCTATCAATTGTTATCAGAGCATGATCATGTGCCCACGGGATGCCGCCTACGTGGCAGGCTAACCTTGGGCCCGGGCTACTACCCTGAGAAAGGGCATGGAGGCTTGAGGAAAAAGGAATCCGCGTAGTCACTGAAGGGGTAAGGAGGCCAACGAGGGTAAAGAGGCCGATCAGTTGTGGAAGCGTGGTGGAATGTTAGAATCCCATATTGGAAGGGAAAAGGGTGGGCATATGGGTTATAAAGGCTTGGGCACCCTCCCTTGGCAAGCCGGTTTTCCAAGGAGAGTTCTACCCAAGCCTACAAAAGACCCATGGCCCAGCCCAATTGTTTGAGTTGTTGGGATGGGTTCCTATCAATTGGTACCAGAGCATGATCATGTGCCCACGGGATGTCACCTGGCATGGACGTCTTTTGCAAAAGCGTGGTGGAATGTTAGGATCCCACATTGGAAGGGAAAATGGTGGACATGTGAGTTATAAAGGCTTAGGCACCCTCCTTTGGCAAGCCAGTTTTCCAAAGAGAGTTCTACCCAAACCCACAAAAGACCCATGGCCCAACCCAATTGTTTGAGTTGTTGGGGTGGGTTCCTATCAAATTCCAAAGTTGTTAGTTTCAGAACCAATAGGAGTTCTTGGAAAGCTATTTCTAAGGAGTTCTACTTCTTCAATAGCCTTATTGAATTAGTTAAGGGTAATGGGATAATGATCTCTGGAAATTTATAGAGCTAGATCTTTTGTTAGTAACTTGACATGAAAGAAACAAGCAAATTTTTTAAGAGATGAAGAAGAAAACATTTTGTGGAGTAGAATTCGCTTTTTAGCTTCTCTATTAGCTTCAATGACTAAAGACTTCCAAGATAGTTCTTGGAAAGCTATTTTTTGTTCATAATGTGCAGATTATACTACAAATCATTTGTATAGCTTTTTGTCCCAATTCTCTAAGAGGTGGCTGTTATAATAGTGGACACCTAGTCCCGCTTGTAAGCTCTCTACTTCATGATATTAACACACTTTTTCTGACTTCTCAATCAAATGAAAAAAGAATCTAGTACTATATCTGAAATGAGGCTAAGGAGAATCTAATTTTTGCTTCTTTTATATTAACTTTACTCTCACTCCAAACTTCTTCCAAAAACTTTCAATACATAATCCCCTATATTCAATATAAGGCTACACCTTAGTGGTTTTTACATGTTCAACAAGCATCATTGTACAACATAAAATATCCAAAAGAACCACCCCTCCAAACTAATGTCCAGTTTTCTTAAAACTATATTTTCCACAAACAAGGACGAAGTAAATCAGAATAGATTCAAAATATCATTCACAATCTCAGGATGAGCAGTTTAACATTATGCACGGTAAAATAACATGTGTTCCACTGTTTGAGATCAAAAATATCCTAGCACAATCACCATTCCATGCATTCATCCATTTCTTTTGTTCTTACTATGAAGTGCAAAAAGCAGAAAAAAGATCATAGAGGATCAATACCCTAAATAATTTGACAAAGCATTTTTGAAATTTGGATAAATAGAATGCTTAATGGTGATAAGAGACATGCTAATATAAAATAAGAAAAATGAAGTACTTACCACTCAGCATCATCAATGGGCATATTATTTGGTTTCTCAACAATATCCAAGCCATTGACTACTACAAAACGAACTCGCTTCTCTTCTTGTATTACTAATTCTGGAAATCTTGTCCTTGTTTCAAGGGAAGTTGCCAGTTCTCTTCGTCTGTATATACAAGAACCTGTTGATAAGAAGATATGGCAAGTAAATATATAACGGATCCAGATTTTATGCCCAAAAATAACAAAAATTGACTCATTATCATTTTCTGATATTTCTTTTGGCAATCCAAAGAAATGGGTTGTCTTCAATGCAGTTTTATAGACACAAATTGGGCAACAGCAAAATGCTGAGTGAAAGAAGGAAATTGAAATTCAGAAATTTATTTCTTAGGGTGTTTAAAAGCCCCCAAGAGGAGTTTAACTACTTTTCCTCCGTACAACAAAAAAGAATTGAGGAAAAAGAAAAGGTAATACCTTTCTTTGGAAATTTCTTAGCCAGACTTCTGTACAAACCGCCTGCTGCTTCAAGGGCCACCCCAATGGTCTTCTCACGAATACCATTCAAGGAAGCAAGCCTTAAGTCTACATCATTAACTAAGCTTCCGTACAAATTAGCAACATACATCAAAGGCAAAGCAAACCTTGGATCACCTTCATATTGGACATCTCCTGTCTTCCTCTTATTCAATTTATCTTGCCCTGAGTGAGAAGTATAATCAGCCTCAGAGTCAGCCACTTCAATCACATGGTCATTAATAAAATGATCCACAATAATTTGCAGAAACCTTGCCCTAGCCGATTCAATAGGGGAAACATCTGGTTCAAACCCATTTAAATTAGTGAATCCATATGAGGCATTAATCATCCATAAGATTCAATGCAAAGAACTCCGAGATTTTTATATTAAGAAAATAAGATATATTAACCATACCCTCAATAGCCAGAGTATCGTAAGCACCACTTGATGGACCAGTATTCTCCAAGCTAGAGCGATCTTCTTCCACTCCAACACCGTGAAGTGGTAAAGGGTTTCTATAAGATTCATGTATACAATCCTAAAATCAAATAAAAGTTACAAGGGGACTAATAACTTTCTCCAAAGATTTAATAAATATGGTATCCAATACGGTTTGTCTTCCTTTGTTCCAAAGAATAAAGAAATTAAAACACTTTTTTCATCTCTCATCCATTGTTTAGAATTGACCACTAACTACAATCAACTGAAACCAAATTTTCAGACAGATGAAACTCTAGGCATCTCAATCGTTTTGGGTTTTAAGAGCAAAGAACTTGAAAAGCTGTACATATCAATCAAAATATGACAAAATTACAAGAACAAATGAAAATGTAATACATACTTCTTTGGTACCACACTAAAGGAATGCCAAAAGAAGTACATAATTCTCATAGCTCACGCGTCACACCTACAAATGAAAGGATAACACACAAAAGCAATAACCAACCTAACAGATAAGGCATGTAGAAGATCAAGAATAAAGCCTCAATAAGCAAAGAAGTAGAAGTCAACAGCTACATGGAAAGAGTCCTCCAGAAAGTCATCTTGCATCATCCTCAAAAGTAAACTATTCCTTCTCCTCAAGATAGTCCTAAATCAACACAAAGGAAACACTTTCTATGCTATGTCTCCTCTCAATCATTCCTCCCCAACAGTCTAATTAGTCTATTTAGGCATCACAGAAACAACTCCCAACTCCTATTAAAAGTAAAAAACAAACCACAACATATCTCCAGCTCACAGGGAATGAAGTGAATAACCTTCCGTATTTCCTAATCTCTTATTCCACCTTGTGATGACATTTTGAACCATAGAATACAACCTAAACAAGCAATTCACACAAAGAAAAATAACTTAGAACACCTACTGGCAAAATACTCATGTAATGCCTTATAAGAAATTAACTTCAAGCTTCCTGATTGCGCTAGGCCTCAACGAGATCACATCAACGTCAACACCGAACATTAAATGACTGACAAACCTAGAGTTGCAGTGCAATTACCATCAAATGTTAATCACTTCCCACGAGAAATAGTCAAACAGAGTACAAATTTTGATATAAAAGCTTCATAGCTCAAACACTTAGTCTTATATAAGATTGAAATTGAAGTGAAATTTGGGAAATGTTAAGTGAAATGAAAGAGTAAAAAGTAAAAAAATAAAAAAATAAAAATAAAAATAAGAGTAAAAGAAAAAGAAAAAGGAGGACTCACAACAGGGTTGGAATCATGGTGATTGTGAAGAGAATCTTGGTGAGGATCAACGTCAGCAATGGCATCGATGTCAGAGGGGCGAGAATCGACTGTGTTGAGGTCATGCAAAGAGGTTCCGATGAAGGAATTGGCTGATCTCAAGTTGTACTGCTGAACAGGAACCCTAGAACCCATTCTTTAAACATAGTCCTGATGAAGAAGAAGACATTCAGGTACTTTTTTGACAAGAGCAGACAACGCTTTTTTTTTTTTATTATTATTATTATTTTTTATTTAATTAATCAACTAACGGCTATACAGACTAAAACTAAAGAGAGAGTGAGAGAGTGAGAAAAATCCAAGCCTGAAACCATACCTCAGCCTACTCCTCTGCTCAAACAAGGTTCCCGAATTCCGAACCTCCGCTTCGAAGTTCAATGCTACTTTCAACTCCAAACCCAATCCCTTTCATATGGGCTCGGCCCAGCCCAGTGAGGAAAAAGATTTGGCCTCCAAAGTTCATGCAAATCCTTGGGGTGCGTTTAGTCGGGGGTTACCTCCTATTAATGAGTTAATGTTATCTTATATTACTTACATCGTCACATTTGTTTGTTAAGTAATATAAGATTTAAGTAATCTTACAAAATCAATAGTAATTGTTGTTGGTTATATAAGTGATAATCTGAATACCTCTATTTTCTTAAGTATTTTAAGATTAATTAAAAATCTTAAGTTTGTTACATTTTTACCCTTAACTATTAAAATTATTACAGAATAATGGCCTTATTTTGACATTAATTTACATAAACTTGCCATTACAATTTTACCCATAATTAATTAAGTTTTTTAACAATAATACCCGTATATTTAAAACAAATTGCAGGCCACCCAAGACCGCCTCTTGTCACCACCGCTGATGGTCGCCGAAACAGTGCACGACCAGTTGAATCTGACTGTTTTCGGCCAAATGGGCGTAGATCTGGTAAAAAACGACCATATCTATTTTGGCTGTTAACGGCCATGGATCTGGTCGCTTTGTGTGTCATAATAGATATGGCTATAAACAGTCAGATCCACATCCATCTGGCCATTTTTGACCATTGATCTGGTTGAAAACGACCAGAATGGCGCAAGACTGACAACCGACGATGGTGGCCGATAATGGCTTGGGATGGGTGAGAGTGGTTTTGTTGTAATTTAAACTTTTATATGGCTAAGGTGTTTTAGTAAAATCTCAAATGTAGAGGGTTAAAAAAAATGATTCAAAAAATAATAATAAAAATAATATTATATTAATATTAAAAAGGAAAGTAATTTAGTAATCTATATAACATATTCACCAATTTATTCGTCCCAATCAAATATATCAATATAAAATACTCATCAATTTATTTTAATTTAACCAAACATATTTCCCTAAATATTTTTAGTAATTTTCATGGTAATCTATCTTTTCATTAATATGACATTCTCAGTAATGCAACATTCCTTAAAGCAAACGTACCCTTAGGGAAGTGATTTTTAGCCCCATCAAATCCCACTTTTAAATTTTATTTATTTAACCTTATTGAAAATCATTAAAGAATAGCATAATAATTATTTTTAAATACATTCATAACATATTTTATATTTTTGTTTAAAAAATTAACTTCAAGTTTGAAAGTAAGGAAAAAGAATGCAAACAAAAAACTCTAATTAAGCATGACTATTTTTTGTATTAAATAGGGTTTCAAGAGATTTTTCTTCAAAATATAATAGAGGTGTATTTGGTGTAAGAGGATACTAATCATTAGGTAGGGACAAAAATCACTTCCAAAATCCTTGGGTTAGGTGAAAGACATTAATTTAGAGTAATGTTATGCGTACTCACGGATCTTACTAATTATCTTACTAACCTTTGTTAAAACTACATATGATATCCATACTATACTTGTTATACCCGTAACAATGACAAAATTACAAGAACAAATGAAAATGTAATACATACTTCTTTGGTACCACACTAAAGGAATGCCAAAAGAAGTACATAATTCTCATAGCTCACGCGTCACACCTACAAATGAAAGGATAACACACAAAAGCAATAACCAACCTAACAGATAAGGCATGTAGAAGATCAAGAATAAAGCCTCAATAAGCAAAGAAGTAGAAGTCAACAGCTACATGGAAAGAGTCCTCCAGAAAGTCATCTTGCATCATCCTCAAAAGTAAACTATTCCTTCTCCTCAAGATAGTCCTAAATCAACACAAAGGAAACACTTTCTATGCTATGTCTCCTCTCAATCATTCCTCCCCAACAGTCTAATTAGTCTATTTAGGCATCACAGAAACAACTCCCAACTCCTATTAAAAGTAAAAAACAAACCACAACATATCTCCAGCTCACAGGGAATGAAGTGAATAACCTTCCGTATTTCCTAATCTCTTATTCCACCTTGTGATGACATTTTGAACCATAGAATACAACCTAAACAAGCAATTCACACAAAGAAAAATAACTTAGAACACCTACTGGCAAAATACTCATGTAATGCCTTATAAGAAATTAACTTCAAGCTTCCTGATTGCGCTAGGCCTCAACGAGATCACATCAACGTCAACACCGAACATTAAATGACTGACAAACCTAGAGTTGCAGTGCAATTACCATCAAATGTTAATCACTTCCCACGAGAAATAGTCAAACAGAGTACAAATTTTGATATAAAAGCTTCATAGCTCAAACACTTAGTCTTATATAAGATTGAAATTGAAGTGAAATTTGGGAAATGTTAAGTGAAATGAAAGAGTAAAAAGTAAAAAAATAAAAAAATAAAAATAAAAATAAGAGTAAAAGAAAAAGAAAAAGGAGGACTCACAACAGGGTTGGAATCATGGTGATTGTGAAGAGAATCTTGGTGAGGATCAACGTCAGCAATGGCATCGATGTCAGAGGGGCGAGAATCGACTGTGTTGAGGTCATGCAAAGAGGTTCCGATGAAGGAATTGGCTGATCTCAAGTTGTACTGCTGAACAGGAACCCTAGAACCCATTCTTTAAACATAGTCCTGATGAAGAAGAAGACATTCAGGTACTTTTTTGACAAGAGCAGACAACGCTTTTTTTTTTTTATTATTATTATTATTTTTTATTTAATTAATCAACTAACGGCTATACAGACTAAAACTAAAGAGAGAGTGAGAGAGTGAGAAAAATCCAAGCCTGAAACCATACCTCAGCCTACTCCTCTGCTCAAACAAGGTTCCCGAATTCCGAACCTCCGCTTCGAAGTTCAATGCTACTTTCAACTCCAAACCCAATCCCTTTCATATGGGCTCGGCCCAGCCCAGTGAGGAAAAAGATTTGGCCTCCAAAGTTCATGCAAATCCTTGGGGTGCGTTTAGTCGGGGGTTACCTCCTATTAATGAGTTAATGTTATCTTATATTACTTACATCGTCACATTTGTTTGTTAAGTAATATAAGATTTAAGTAATCTTACAAAATCAATAGTAATTGTTGTTGGTTATATAAGTGATAATCTGAATACCTCTATTTTCTTAAGTATTTTAAGATTAATTAAAAATCTTAAGTTTGTTACATTTTTACCCTTAACTATTAAAATTATTACAGAATAATGGCCTTATTTTGACATTAATTTACATAAACTTGCCATTACAATTTTACCCATAATTAATTAAGTTTTTTAACAATAATACCCGTATATTTAAAACAAATTGCAGGCCACCCAAGACCGCCTCTTGTCACCACCGCTGATGGTCGCCGAAACAGTGCACGACCAGTTGAATCTGACTGTTTTCGGCCAAATGGGCGTAGATCTGGTAAAAAACGACCATATCTATTTTGGCTGTTAACGGCCATGGATCTGGTCGCTTTGTGTGTCATAATAGATATGGCTATAAACAGTCAGATCCACATCCATCTGGCCATTTTTGACCATTGATCTGGTTGAAAACGACCAGAATGGCGCAAGACTGACAACCGACGATGGTGGCCGATAATGGCTTGGGATGGGTGAGAGTGGTTTTGTTGTAATTTAAACTTTTATATGGCTAAGGTGTTTTAGTAAAATCTCAAATGTAGAGGGTTAAAAAAAATGATTCAAAAAATAATAATAAAAATAATATTATATTAATATTAAAAAGGAAAGTAATTTAGTAATCTATATAACATATTCACCAATTTATTCGTCCCAATCAAATATATCAATATAAAATACTCATCAATTTATTTTAATTTAACCAAACATATTTCCCTAAATATTTTTAGTAATTTTCATGGTAATCTATCTTTTCATTAATATGACATTCTCAGTAATGCAACATTCCTTAAAGCAAACGTACCCTTAGGGAAGTGATTTTTAGCCCCATCAAATCCCACTTTTAAATTTTATTTATTTAACCTTATTGAAAATCATTAAAGAATAGCATAATAATTATTTTTAAATACATTCATAACATATTTTATATTTTTGTTTAAAAAATTAACTTCAAGTTTGAAAGTAAGGAAAAAGAATGCAAACAAAAAACTCTAATTAAGCATGACTATTTTTTGTATTAAATAGGGTTTCAAGAGATTTTTCTTCAAAATATAATAGAGGTGTATTTGGTGTAAGAGGATACTAATCATTAGGTAGGGACAAAAATCACTTCCAAAATCCTTGGGTTAGGTGAAAGACATTAATTTAGAGTAATGTTATGCGTACTCACGGATCTTACTAATTATCTTACTAACCTTTGTTAAAACTACATATGATATCCATACTATACTTGTTATACCCGTACTATGCTCTATATTTACAAAGGTTAGTATGGTAGTTAATACACTCGTAAATACGTATAGTATTATTCATTATTTTAAGGGCCGTTTGGGGAAGAAGAGCTTATAGGATTGGAGACTATAAAAATGCAAAAGGGTTTTCTAATACTAATTTATCAAAAAGGGAATTAATCTACAAGAATCAAGTCAAAGATTTATTAGAAATACAAAACTTGCATAACTTAAACCAAGAGAAAAACATGATCAAAGATACCATTTATAAAATAGTTTTTGTAAGCTAAGTTCTTGGTTAATTTCATTCATCACCAATGAACCAAATTTACAAGTAAATGTAGATCCTAAATTTGATAAGCAAGATATAACTCTGGATTGAAACATAAAGAATATCAGAGACTAGTAGTGCACAGCTACTTGGAACTACACAAATAACTCTTCTCCAGCTGAGTAAATTTTGACAACCTCATTCCACAAGTTCATCTCCTTCACATTCCATTCGGATTTATGTATAATTTATCTGTCTCCACTGAAGCTTTAACCCCACTTCTCCAGCAAACACAAAAGAGTTCTATGGCATCCTTGGAGTCCAAAGCCCTACCAAAACATGAGGAAGTTGGATGTCCAACTAACCTTCCAACTTCAGAATTACCCAGCTGCAATAAAATATCTATGAAATAAGTCCAGGAGAAGCACTGTATCAAGAATAAGAAAAATATAATATGCCACAATATTTGAGTAATGAAATTTACTCAGTTTCGTTTCCCCCCATTTTTATGCTACTTCTTTTAAAGTTTATTATGACCACATAGCTCGCATCATATATTACAAATGGAAACCAGAATAAATCAAAACTTACCACTCACCTGAAAAAGAAATTTAGGCATTTTGTAACTGGAAACCAGAATAAATACCATGTCTGTGCTCAAAGTCACTAAAACTCACTCCAATACTGCAAACTTAAATGTCTCCAAGTAACAGAGTTGGCATCATGAGAGCAAAAAGGAACTTTTGATATGCATAAAAAGATGTCCAGTGAGAACCCTTTTTAACAAACCAGCAACAAATATAATGTTTGCATTGAGTCAATCCATCCAGAAATAAGTATTTACTAGAACTTTGTATTCCTTGTGTACTTATCCCCCGGGATTAAAAAAATTAAAACACTTTCTGCTTCCCAAACATCTTTCTGAAAAGCATTAGAAAGTTACTGATGATCAAGACTTTTTACCCTTTCAAGCTTGTATATTAGGAACCACGTTATTGCTAAATTGCAGCAATAGACCCTTTTTTACCATTTCATTTTGCAATTCATCAGCTTCATCTCTATTTCCTAGCTCATAATACTTCTTTAGCAGAGAAATGCAAAGTATCTCATCAGGTAGTATACCCTTGCCAATCATCTCATCAAAAAACACTCTTGCTTGCCGCAATTGACCACATTGAGAAAATCCCCAAACTAAGGAAGTATAGGCATGCAGATCAAGTTCCATACCCACTTCAATCATTCTGTTATGCAAAGTCAAAGCTTCCTGAAAATTTCCATGTTTCAAATTTCCATCTATCAGAGCAGTGTACGCAATTTTATCAGGAATCATATCTTTTTCAAGTAATTCATCAAACATCTTTTTTGCTGCTTCAATGCAATTATTTTTACAAAGACCATCAATCAGGGCCGTATATACTGCAACATTTGGTTGCAAATTGAACTCTGGCATCCTACTGAAATAATCAATTGCTTCTTGGACCAATCCCCTTTTGCACAAACCATCAAGTAATACACAAAATGTGACAACAGTAACTTCAATACCCGAGTCCTGCATATCATGCAGCAAGCCCAGGGCCTCTGAGGTTTTTCCAGCCTTCAAATGAGCATCCATGAGTGTTGTGTATATGACAGGATTTGCACTCAGACCATACTCCTTCATTTCCCTTATTAAAAGCTTCGACTCGTCAAGTTTACTTTGAGTGCACAGGCCCCAAATGATGGTTCCATAAAGCAACAAGTCTGCTTTGATGTTTTTTTCCTTCATTTCTTTGAAAAGATCCATGGCAGTCTCCAACTTCTTAACCTTAATATAACCATGAATAAGGGCAGTATAAACATTCTGGTTAGGAGTTACTCCAGCTTCAAGCATTGCTCTAAATACTTTTTCTGCTTCCTTCATCCTCCCTCCTTCACAAAGACCATCCAATATGCTTGTATAAGTAACAAGGTTCAACTCAATGCCAGCTTGTAACATCTCATTAGCCAGCTTCAAGGCTTCATTCAGATTACCTACTTTGCAATTTGCATCAATCAAAGAAGTATATGTGAATTCATTAGGTAAAAGACCTATACGTCTCATGTCAACAAAAAATTTAATTGCCTGTTGCATCATCCCCTCCTGGCATAAAGCATCAATCAATGTGCTATATGTTACAACATTTGGTTTTAACTCGTTGTTCCTCATCTCACTGAAAAACATAAATGCCTGAGGCATTCTGTCAACTTTACAAAAACAATTTATTAAAGCATTGTATGTTATTACATCAGGCTTACAACCCACATCCTTCATTTCTTCAAATATACATATGGATTCATCCAACAACCCAACCTTTCCACAACCATCAATAAGAGAATTATATGTTACAATATCAGGGTTTAACCCCCTCCGTTTCATTTGCTCAAACAAGCTTCTAGCAGTTTTCAAATCACCTTCTTTGCACATATAATCTATCATTATATTGTACGTAAACACAGATGGATCAATCCCTGCCCCAACCATATCCTTTAAAAACTCCATTGACAAGTATCCCTTTCCTGACTTTGAAAGCCTATGCAAAAGTGCATTACAAGACCGCGTTTTTGGCAAAACCCTAAACCTCTTCATTTTTGAAAAGCACTTATTGGCTTCCTCAAGCATTCCTAAGTCAACCAAACTACTAAACAAAGCATCAAAAACACCAAATCCCCAACCACAAACATTTCTTTTTGACCACAAAACATCAAAAGCATCAAAACCAGGTACTGCCCGGTTCGATAAAATCAATTCCTTAAGAGTATTATTAGCATCAAAGTACATCCTAGCATAAAACAAAATGTGAACCAATATGCAATAGGACTCTGTGGTGTGGTAAAACCCAGTTCGGGTTTTTGCCCATTTAAAGAATTTGAATGCTAAAATTGGATCTTGCTTTAACTCAACCAAAACCTTGGAAACCCATATGGGCGCCAATGCTGAATCGAACAAATGAATGATAATTGGCGCGTCCCATTGGTCTTGTTGGATGATATTCCGCATGGAATCCCTATTTATATCTAGAAAAAGACTGTTGGGATTTGTTTTAGAGACAAAAGGGTATCTGATAATACAGAGAAAACTAGTGAACCAAATTAAAGGGCAAGAAATAAAAGAATCAGGAGAGAAACGAGTAGGGTTCAAGGAGAGAGAAGGGCTTACTCTGTGAGGGATTCTACGACTGATGGAGAAGAGATTGCGTAAAGAGAAAAACATTTTGGAGAAGAAACAGAGAGCAGCTTCAAATACAAGTAGTTTCATTTTTCAAAAAGGAGCCGTAGCATTGCATTTGCTGGTGTTCAGAGGGATTCATATATAAATCATAATCAAAGCTTACTTATTAGGGTTTATAGGAAGCGGTAATTGTTTGAGATTCTTCAGTTCGCACTTTTAAATGGGGCCTGCCCGGGTATTCATTACACCGGCCCGACCCCGGAAAATAAGGCCCGGGTATCAACAAAAAAAATTGTCGCTTAAAATAAAAGTAAAAAACTAAAGGGTATGTTTGATTTATTATTTTGGATAAGATTTTGGGGATAGTATTGGGTTGTTGGATAGGAGAGTATTATGAGGTAAACTTTAAAAATTTATAAAAAAGCCCTTAGGTTTACTAATTTAATTAAAGACCCTAATATATAAAATGACAAAAACACCCCCACCACCTACAGTACCAGATTCCGGCCACTAGAAAATTTCGTTACGACACAGACTGGTCAGATCTATATCGTAACGCGTCGTTATGGCCTTTTCCGACCAGATCCACCTGGAAAAGACCAGATCTACTAATTGTTGTGGCTACGACAGCTAGAAAAGGCTGAAACGACGGCCATCTTTGGCTGTCGTTGACGGCAGATCTAACCTTTTCCGACTAGATCCACCAAATCTAGCCATTACTAGCTATTTCTGGTGGCTGTGTGACTATTGTGATAGATTCCGGCTACCACCGGCAGTGGTTGTCGGAATCTGGCAAGTATTGGTGGTGGGGGTGTTTTTGTTAGTTTTTTAACTTTTTTTCTGGGGGGTATTTAATGAAATTAATAAACTTATAGGGTCTCAATGTAATTTAAAAAAATAGACTAATATTTTGGGAATAACGTGCCAAACAACATTTAAAAAATAGGATTGGGAATATGAATAAAAACAATAAGCCAAACGCACCGAAAATTTTTCCTTTACAGTTCTTCACTCTTGTCCATAAACTGTCAAAATTGAGTTCGTCGTATTGAAAATTTTATAAGATGTCCATAATATGTTTCCAAATAACCATGACTGTTACTGTTGATGCACGATTTTGACACCAACTAAAAGCACGCGTGAAATGTTGAGTTGCCCCCAAAAGACACACGTGAAAGGTTTTTAGAAAAATGAAAGTAAATGCAGTGAGAAAAGAGTTTTAAAGTGGTTCGGATGCTAAGGAAGCAAATCCTACATCCATTGATATTTTTATTTATGATGATGGTCAGGTCGCTTTAGACGACTGACTTTACACTGATGATACAAAGTATCGAAGATTGTCTTTTCTAGAGAGATGTTTTTTTTCAAGAGTAAAATGTGCGAATCCCCTTAATGAGAGAGGAACTCCTATTTTATAGTGGGATGTCTTGAGGCAATCGTCACTGAATCTGCAAGTTGGTGAGATGATCTGTGCAAATCCTTTGTTTAGAGTAATTCACGTGATTTGTCGCAGGGGTTGGACACGCGAGATCACCATATCTCTTTGCTGGCCTGACGTGCACCCATTACTCTGACGGAAGGAAGCTGTGGGTGCCACCGTGATCACACGAAGTAGCTGCGTCAGGATGGCCGTAGGCTCTTCCTGAGGCCTGACCTTGCGCACTTACTAGGGCGCCACGTCAGCCCTAAGTTCTCAGGCATAACAGAAGTCCCCTAGTTTTTAAGGTTCGAGAACTGAACCTTGGAAACTACTAGTCATGCCGCAGTTGGATGATTCCCGGAGATTTTGGAAATTCCAAAAATTCTGGAAACCCTGACCTGCTTGAAAGTAGGTCGAGATGGAACTTTTTCGAGAACGACCTCACATGTCCATTGTTTGCAGGGGACGAGCGACCTGGTTTCGTCAGACATCACTTGTTGTCGTTTTGCCATGGGTGCATTTAATGAAGCAGTCCCTGTGCTGGCAGACGTGCCCTGGGCGTGATAAATGCCTGCCAGATGCATTAAATGCGTTGTACGTTGACACAGTACGCCTTATCAGGACATTAAATGCGCAATATGTTGGAACGACGCCCTTTACCAGAGCATTAAATGTGGATTTGAAATGCAATTAATGCTTTGAGAAAGAGAGAATGTCTGTCGTTTGGGCTTTTCAACGGACGAGATGAAGGTTTGACTTTATCCAGTCGTGACGCTCACTCTTCTCCGCTGATGCACGACACGTGGCTGTGATCAACAGTGGGAAACCTTTGTCGCCCAAACGTCGTTTCGATTCTGAGAAACCCAAGTGCCGATTCATATGCTATAAAAACCTCGAGTCGTTCTCAGGCAATGTTACCAGAGCCCTTTTTTTTTCTTTTTTTTTTTTTCTTAGAGAGTAAAGGATTTGCGCAAACTTGGAATTTCTGTCTTTCAAACCAGCGTTTTCAAGCATTCGAAGCGGAAGTCATTCTCACACTCTGTACGATAAGAGCTTCTCCCTGTTTCTGTTTCGTTATTTTCCATGGTTGAGTGGCGTCTGTCTTCCGGTAGCCTATCGGAGACGAGATGCTTAGGCCTAGTTCGAGCCATGAATGGCGGCTCGAATCATGCTGTTAGGGTTTCCTTTCGGATTTTGAGAGTTTGTTTTCTCCCACATCATCATACGAAATAGCGTACGATGGGTAAATGACCCTTCTGCTTGTCGCTTTTTGCAGACTGGCAAGATGGACCCCTCAACAACCAGATCCAAACAGGGAATCAGTTCGTCCCCACAGGATGCTCCAAACATCCCTGTCGAGGTCTTCTCGGTGCTTACCAGGGAGGAGCTCGAAAGGGTAGTAAAACAATACGCTATCGAGGTGGATGTTTTCCTCGACGTGGCGCACTCATCGCGGTACCCACTAAATGGTCTGGCTGCGGTTTCCGAGGAGATTATCAAGGGTGGGGGACTGATCCCCTTCCACCCTTTTATCAGGTCACTTTTGGACCACTTCGGGGTTGCGCCGATGCAGTTGACCCCGAATGCATACGTCATTGCTGTTGCAATGTATATCGTGTGCCAAGAGAACGGACTAGGCAAGCTAACCGCGATGGAGGTCAGCTACTCTTATTATTTAAAGAAGAGTAAGGACAAGGATTCCTACTTTGTCCAGGCGACCCACTATCGCCGATGGGATACATAGCTATCCGAGTACCGCGGGTGCCTACGAAACGAAGTTTTTCTTCTTTCGTTATGATGGCCATTGCCGCTTCCAGGATTCGAGTAGGTCCCTTTTCTTCTTTTTTTTTTTTTTTTTTTTTTTTTTAAATGCGCTTTTCTAACGACCTGGTTTCTTTCTGACAGTTAACAAGACGACTGACCTAGGGCTGCTCTTCGATAGAGGTAGGATCGTGCATTTCGACTCCTTACCAAAGGATCAACGTGACGTGAAGAAACTCGTGACGACCGCGAGCTTGAGGAAATACGGTTTCTTTAACGTAAACGCGTCGCTAGAGCTCCCATTGAGTAAATCTTGCTAACTGACCCCTTCTTGGTTGTGAAATGAGATATTTTTGCTAACGATGTTTTGCATACAGCGACCATGCCTCCGAAGGAGTCAGAGCAGCCGCGACGAAGGCATGTCAATTTCCCTCGGACAAAGAAAGGCAAAGCAACGGAAGCTGCTTCGACAGTCCCACTGGCTGAAGGCGCGACGTCGGGCCTGCCGGCGCAACCTTCCGAGACTCCTCATACGCAATAGTCAGAGGACATACCAACACGAAAAACGAAGGCTTCCAAGCCGTCTCCTGCTCAGCCGAGGTTGAAGACAACGACCCAGCGAAAGAAGAGGAAGCAGATTCAGGTCAAAGAATCAGACACCGAGTCTGAGGACAATCAATCAAAGAGGTCGCGGCCGGATGCAAGTAAGTCAGGCAAGGCGCCTATAGACGACACAACGGCTGTTGAGGCCGCGAAGAAGGGTACCCCAGTGTTGGACTCGTTGGGAACCTGTCGGAGGATCTGTAGCCGGTGGTATACGCCCTGTTGGAATGCAGACTCTCGGAATCTTTCGAGCAGTTCGCAAGTTCCAGCGATGTGGACTTAATGTCCACATCAGTCCAACACTTGAGCAAGGTGAGCGAATTGTCTTCGGCGACGATTTCCCTTAGCTTCTTTTGATTAGCTAACTTTTTCTTTCTTTGTTCGAAGGCTCTTCTTTCCATGCGAATGTCCATGGAAAAGGTCCAACTGGGAGCTGCGAAGGGAGGTGTTGCTCTGAAGGAAGAGAACGCAGTGCTCAAGCGAAGCTTGGAAGCTGCCAAAACATAGAGAAACTTGTCTTCTAAGTCGGCGAACAGGTATCTGAACGAAAGAGACGCCGCTCTTCGTACGGTGGACTTCCAAAAAGCGCAGCTCGAGAAGCAGGGAGAGAAATTAAAAGAGCTGTAACAACTCCTCTTTAGTACTATTCTTATAATACGTACTATGTAAAATATAGATATGTATATAATATGAACGATAGTGGGCTCAAATTTTTCTTTACTCATTAAAATATACTTCTTTACAAATACAAAATACTATGTTTTAAAAACTTTCTAATTAGTACAAAATGTCATAGCTGGTGGACAGTGGTGCCAATACTCTTCGCTCTTCGAGGTCCATCCGACCGCTGCTCCTATTTCCTGCAAAACAGAGAAGAACAACGGGGTGAGCACAACAATGCTCAGTAAGTAAATCCTCTACTACTATCCCCGCAACTCACTCTTTGGTTCTTTCCTTACTCGACTATTCTACTATTTCTATTTCTCACTGTTTTTCTCTTTCTTTCTAATACTGTTATTCTCCTTTAACTCTGTTTTGCTCTTTACTCTTTCTTTCTCTCTGTTCTTTTTCTCTTATTCTTACTCACCATGAAGGGCAATCATGGTTCTCTCTTATTCTCATCATACTCACCATGAAGGAAAATCATGGTTCTCGCCGGTACAAGGTCTACATGAAATTAATACGAAAGAACTGCATGTTTCTTTCCTCTACTCTCTATTCTTATTAGCTTAAACTTTCGCATTCTTTCTCATACTCTCTCTCTCTTTCTATCTCATTCTTTCTCAAGCTTTCTCATTCTTTAATTCTTTCTATTATCTCATTCTCATTTCTGTTTCTCTTTCTCATAATTCTTTTCTGTTAACTCTCTCTTTAGTAGTCACGGCCTCATCTTACCGGAGGCACG